GCATTTTTACTATTCTTTGATTATTCCTTTCCCTCTGGAAAGCCTATCACATAGTTCTGTAGTCTCTGGCTGTTCTGTTTCTTAACTTTTCTTTCATGCTCTGTTTGACTCATGTTTTATCTTCTGGGAGATTTTCTTGACATTGTTCTCCTGGTTACTAATTCTGTGTTCAAATTATGTTCTTTCGCCCTGGCTGGTGTAGCTCAGTGGATTGAGCGCGGGTCTGCAAATCAAAGGATCGCGGTTCAATTCCCAGTCAGGGCACATGCCTAGGTTGCAGGCCGGTTCCCTGCAGGCTAGTACCCAGCAGGGGATGCACAAAAAAAAGGCAACCATACATTGATGTTTCTCTCCCTCTCTCCTGCCCTTCCCCTCTAAAAATAAATAAATAAAATCTTTAAAAAAAATTATGTTCTTTGTTATTTCTTTCATTTATTCAGTTTTTAAATTTTTGATGATCTTATTTTACCATGTTTATTTTTCACATTCTTTGCTGCTTTTTCACTTTTTAAAAAAAATATTTATTTATTTTGAGTAAGAGGGGATGGGGAGAAAGAGAGGGAGAGAAATGTGTGTGGTTGTCAATGTGTGGTTGTCTCTGGATCGTCCCCCACTGAGGACCTGGCCTGCAACCCAGGCATGTGCCCTGACTGGGAATCAAACCATAACCTTTTGGATCACAGCCCATGCTCAATCCACTGAGCTGTGTCAGCCAGGGCTGCTTTTTCACTTTTATAGATGTAATATTATGTTGGCCCTCTCTAAATATACTTGATTTTTTAAATTGTTTTTATTGAATTATCTGTTTTCTCTTGGATTAGGTTTTGCTTTTTTTTATGTTGGATCTTCCTTTTTGTGCTGTTGGTTTCCTTGAAAATATGTATTTAGCTTTTGTTGAATGAAGGATTAGGGTGATTAATATAGATTGCTGGTATTGATTTTTCTCTGTAGTAGTATAATACTGCTTACCAGATAGCCCCCCCCCTTTTTTTTTAAAACATTTTATTTATTTTTTGAGAAAGGGGAAGGGAAGGAGAAAGTGGGAGAGAAACATCAATGTATGGTTGCCTCTTATTTGTCCCCTGCTGGGAACTGGCCTGCAACCCAGGCATGTGCCCTGACTGGGAATCGAACCGCGATACTCTGGTTCTCAGGCCTGCGCTCAAAACACTGAGCTACGCCAGCCAGGGCTGCCCTCCCCCTTAATGGCCAGAGGGCTAACTGTGATTTCTCTGTAAGTGTCTGGTAAACTCTTGGCAGAAAGACCCACTCCTCTGCAAGTATAGAAGTAAAGGAGGCATTATTTTGATGGGTAAACTTGTTCATTCTTTGCATTGCGTTCTCTTTCTTCCTCTATTTTATCAGTTGTGGAAGGCTGGGGTATTATGCTTTGTTGTTTTTTTCCTTCTTCTTAAGCTGCAGTGTTCACTTCAGGAGCCCTTACCTGAACCCACTTATTTTTTTATTTTTAAATATTTATGTCTTTCTAAAAATTTTATTCTTAAGAGACTTGTTCTTGTGCTTTATCCTGGGATCAGAAGCCATAGTACCTAGACCCCTCGGTATGCAGGGTGTGGGAGTGTTAAAAAGGGACCCTGTTGGACCGTGTAGATTTTGAAGGTCTGATAATTGTCCAATGGGTCATTTCCGGTTTTTGTGAATACAAATCTTAGCATGGAGTTTTGTTTTGTGTTTTTTTTAACTTCTGCATCCATTCCGTCACCTGTTTTGTTTTTTTGCCCCTAAGATTGTATTTATTTATTTTTAGAAAGAGGAAAAGAGAAGCAGAAAAATTATTAATGTGTGGTTTCCTCCTCTCGTACCCTACTGGGACCTAGCCTACAACCCAGGCAGGTGCCGACTGGTGACCCTTTGGTTTGCAGGCCAGCACTCAGTTCGCTGAGCCACACCAGCCAGGTCAGCTTGGAGTTTTGCAGAAGCTCCCTTGAAAAGACCCAGCTTTTTTATTGCTGGTGTTTTAAGCTGTGCATTTTTTATTTCAGTTTCTCTATCAATCTGAACCCAACTACTTTTTACTGTTTCTTAAACATTTAAAGTTTTTAATATTTTTCTTATTTTGACCTTCCCTTTTGTCTTTGTGTTATTATGATTTCATTTAAAAATATCTTCATATTATTAGGTCTTTGGGAGATCCAGTCTGTCATCCTGAATTAGAAGCCAATATTTTTATAACAGGAACAAAGAAAACAGAAGTCTAGGGAGAATGATTTGTGAGGTAGGGGTTAGATTAAATTTATAAGTACAGTGGCCTGCTCAGCAAGGCTAACGACTTCTATGCTCACTTACCTAGGACATGATGCAGTAGTCAGGGATGTGTTGGGAGACTGTAAGCGCTGTTTCCCAGTTTGGCGTTTCTGGTGTTCAGCACAGGACTAGACACAGGGTTCTTCTTTTGAAAGGACTGCTTTTATTTTCATGAGAATTTGCTACTTCCTAACCTGTGTCCCACTTGCTTAACTTTGTTTTACTTATCATTAGGCTATTTATTTATTCATACATTTTTACAGAAAGCTCTAATTTGGAAATATCTCACCAAATCACAGTCTAGTTTGCTGAAAGAAAACTTAGAATCAGAAACGAGGACATGTGAAAAGCATTATAGCAAAATGCATTATCAAAATGTATAAATTTAGAGAAGAATATTTTAGTCAGTCATGTGCTTCTTATTTGACTCTTACAAATATAATTCCAACAGTCATATTTGTTTTTTAAAAAACAGATTTTAAAAGAAGATTGTTAGAGCAATCTAATGATAACTGAAGGACATAAAGCTTATATCACAGTGCAGTGTAATACTTGAGATTTATAGTGATGGCCCTTAATTAGTAAGAAGAGTTTAGATTTGTCATATTGCAGAAAGGAGAGAGAACATTTTTTTATTACTTGAACTCTCTTAGACTTGACTGTAATTGCAGTACTTAAAGGCTGTGCATGTTAGTTAACCTCTTTGAACTGGTTCCTTATTCTTGACTTTGATTCCCACATCAGTCTTCTCTTCCTGTAGGGTCCTTGCACACATTCTCTCCCTAGACTGACCTATGATTTCTCTTTGACTGCTTATTTTCTTCAAATCTTTAATACCGCTTTCTCAAGGAATTTACCCTTGACTCTCCTTGGTTAGGTTATGTATCCTGTTGTGTACTCTTAGAGCACTTATCCTAATTATAATTTTTCATTTATTATATGATTATTTATTTAACTGTTTCAACAAATATTTACTGAGTTGCTTAATAAATCTTCTTTTGGGTTGTAGGCTTCGTTAAGGGAAAGTATTGACTGGTTCTGTGGATTTCGTTTCGGTTTTTCTTGGTCATTGTGTTCCTAGCAAGTAACACAGTGCTGAGACACGGAGTACTTTATGGGAGTATTCTGAGGAGATGTGAGTAGTAGTTGAAGGAGTAAATAAAAATAGAGATAATGGTGCTGCCTTCCTTATAAGGCTGTTGTGCGCCTTCAGTGTAAATATGTGTATGAAGTGTTTACCTTGCTTGTGTCCTGGTTTTAACTCCTTGTAACTTAACGAGAGGCATTCAATCTACTGTGGTCAGGGAGAGTGGTTATTGTGACGCATATGGCCCTTAGTTTTGTCCCACTCATTAATTCTGTGATCCCACTTAGGTGCTTAGTATCTCTGATTTGCATTTTCTTTACCTATAAATGGAAATAGTAATAACCATCTGATAAGTTTTTGTGGGGATTATATGTGATCGTGACATTGAAGCATATTGCTCAATAGATGGTGTTTATAGCATTGTTAACATGTTAATGAATAATAAAAACAAATATATAAAATACCAGAAAAACTTGCACATGTGAAAACACTACATTCTCTGATGAGATAGTAGTACTATATTTCATTAGCCAGTAATTAATCCTCAGATTGTCCAGTATTTCCTGATCATGTCTGTGATGGGTTGTGCTGTGTTGTTGGTTGCCATCTTGTTTTTAAAAGGACTTTTGGGAGGATAATGATTGTGTATTCCTGAACAGTTGAATAACATTAAATCCTAATCCTTCTAAATTTAAAAATGCCTTAGAATGCCCTATGAATTGTGTAAAAGTCATAGTAAGCAAATTATATTATTAGACATTAACCTGGGCTTTTGGACTAGTGTGTGTTTGTGGATTTAGGAGACTACCAGTAGGACCCCCCCCTTATGCGTTCCAGGACCCCCAGTAGATCCTGAAACCACACTAGTATTGGTACTATGTTTTTCCTATACCTTTTCACTTAAAGGAGGCACTTTTTGGCTTTGGCACATCTGAATTGTGAGCATCACTACTTGTAGTCTCTGGGGCCACTATTAGGGAAGGTTAAGGGTTATTTGAACACAAGCACTGTGATACTGCAACAGTCAAGATGGCTACTGAGTGATTAATAGTGCACAGTGGATGACACTGGACGAAGGGATGCTTCACGTCCTGAGTGAGACAGTGCAAGATTTCAACACATCACTCAGAGCAGTGCACAGTTTCAAACTTAGCAATTCTTTGTTTTGGAACTTTCCCATTTAATATTTTCAGACCATGGTTGACCACAGGTAACTGAAACTGTGGATAAGGGGGACTACTATATTCTGAATAGTAGTAGTTCACAGTCCTTTCTGCCCCAAGTCACTAGCATCCCCTGTGCATTGGATGCTTCACCAGCCTTTTCTGACAAAAGTGTATTGAAATACGAGTGAAAAAGGCCCGTTATAACCGAAATAACTTTTTTATTTTCTCTAATTTGCATATTGAAAAAATTTTATAAGCATTTGATACTTCAGACTATTTACAGGAACATGATCCAAGCTACCATGTCTAGCCCTTGCTTCTCATTTGAATTGTTTTACTTTTTTCTTGGCTACATGGCCCTTACTTCTGACTTTCATTAGAGTTTGTTTTTTATACAGTTAGTTAATCAGTTGCATTCATACACATACCTTTGGAGAAAGATGCAAAACTTTCTTGTGATTGGTAATATACCTTTATTACAGGCTCAGCAAAACAGTCCCTCTTCTACAGGATCTGGTAACACAGAGCATTCCTGCAGCTCCCAGAAACAGATCTCCATCCAGCACAGACAGACTCAGGTAGGTTGGTGATTGGTAAACAGAGGAGGAGACAAAGATCTGCTTAGGAATAAATGCTGTACATATAAAATCTGTGAGTCCTCTCATTCTCTTCCCTTTAATTCTCTGATTTTACCTCATTATTTGTATTATTGTATTCAGAACTTGCATTATGAGTACTTAAGTCTTTTGGAAGGTGCTTTAACTTTTCAAGGTATTTTTTTCCCTTTTTGGTATGTTCAGTGGAACTGTTGATGAAAGAGTGCTTGTTTGGAGATTTCTAGGCCTCAGTTCAAATTCTGTCTTTGCACCTTATACTTTATCTTTTTGGGCCTCAATTTTCTTGAGTACAAGTCATATATAAAATGTGTTTGATTCTACCCTGACTGGGTGGCTCAGTTGGTTAGAGTGTCTTCCTGTATACCAAAAGGTTGTGGGTTTGATCTCTAGTTGGAGCACATACCTAGGTTGCAGGTTCTATCCCTAGTTGGGGGCACGTAGAGGGCATTTGGGGTGGGTGGCAACTGATTGATGTTTCTCTCTCTCTCTCATTCCCTTTCCTCTCTCTCTCAAATCAATAAATGTATCCTCTGGTGAGGATTTTTAAAAATGTGGTTGATTCTAATTATCTGAAACAATGGATATAAAATGCTTATTAGGACAGTACTGACTGCCCTAATGAATGCTAATTCACTACTTTATGAAAGGAGTTCATTTATTCTTTATACCTGCTCATTTGGTAAGACCTAGGTAAACTTCTTTAACATGCGCCAAACCAGCACAACAACACATTGTTGTTAAACATTGTCTTAAACATTCTTTAGAAACTTTTTAATTTAGGGAATGTTGTGAATATTCAAAGATATTATTTGAAAAGGGTAGTAGATAAATACTCTGTTTTGTGATAGTGAGCCAAACAGCATACCAGGTTTTCTTGGCACTGTGCTGCCTACAAGACAGGATGCTTGACAATCTAGGAGACTTTCTTAAGTCTCAAAAGGTATACAGCACTCAGGACCAGATTTGAATTTTATTTAAATTAACAGCCTTTGAGCAGTTGAATAGATTTAGTTGAGCATTCAGGTCTCTCCCCTTCTAATTGTTCTTTCTTTCCACTAGGTGGCAGTTTTTTCTTTAAGAGATTTTGGTCATGTCTCAAAGTTAGTTTTCATTTCTAAAGTAGTATGTTTCTGTAATGTTCAATGCACAGAGGTTTGAGAATGCATATGTTTGATTCCAGTGTTAACATGTTTTTGAAGCGCAGGTGTAACAGAATATAAAGCTTAACAAGTAAGATGAGGAAAGATTTAGTTTCTTGAGCCATGTGATTCCAGGCTATTTGTGTCAGCAGGTGCTTCCCCCCCCAGAAAAGTAATGAGAAAAATATAACGGCATGTAATATTTTGAGACTAACCTTAAATTTTGTCTTTGTCTCTCTAGTCTGACCTCACAATAGAAAAAATATCTGCACTAGAAAACAGTAAGAATTCTGACTTAGAGAAGAAGGAAGGAAGAATAGATGATTTGTTAAGAGTAAGTATTAAAATATGGTAAAAGATGTCACACAAGCACTGATTAATGTTATATGTATTTGGAACATGTGCATGTCATGGAGATAGTTACTGTAGCCGAAGAACAAAGTTAAATCATAAACATTTGGATATTTTCCTTTAATCTGAGGGAATCTGAGTAGCAACCAGGATCAAACCTGAATTCTAAGCACTGTCTTTAAATTGGAAGTCTTATAGTGTTGAATTTTAAAACTATTTCACAACCTGGGTTTGGTATTTTGTGTCCTTTTTTTAAAAAAGGTTTTGTTTATTTATTTTTAGAGAGAGGAGAAGGGAAGGAGAAAGAGAGGGAGAGAAACATCAATGTGTGGTTGTCTCTTGCACAGCCCCTGCTGGTAACGTGGCCTGCACCCCAGGCATGTGCCCTGACTGGGAATGGAACCAGTGACCCTTTGGTTCGCAGGCCAGTACTCAATCCACTGAGCTACATCAGCCAGGGTGTATTTTTTGTCTTCCATAATGTTTTCATCTAAAGTTTTTTGTACTTACAGGAGAAAATTTTTTTTAAGCTTTTATTTATTTATTTTTAGACAGAGGGGAAGAGAGGGAGAGAAACATCAATGTGTGGTTGACTCTCACGTGCCCCTCATGGGGAACCTGGCCTGCAACCCAGGCATGTGCCCTGACTGGGAATCGAACCGGCAAGTCTTTGGTTCACAGGCTGGCAGCCCTACCAGCCAGAGGACAGGAGAAATTTTTAAAATAGCTAATCTGGAATTAAAAAGATATCACTAGAAAATATACCATGCTATTTTAAATATATATTTTCAATATGGAATTTAGCTGTTGACAGACTCCCCCTTGTTAAATTTTTTAAAAATTCTTTTTATTGTTGTAATGAAAGCAATACCTGCTCTTTATAAAAAAACAATTTAGAGAATACTGAAAAAATATGGTGCCCATAATTATATCAACTGAGATAAAACATTTGATATATTTCCTTTAGTAAGTTTTGAGCCATTTATAGTACATATCTAAATGCATATGTACATAAATATTGATGACTTATGGATAAAAGTATCTCACATTTTCCTCTCCTCCAGCAGGTTAGAAGAGGCAGGTTTGAGTCTTGTTTATACTGATGTAGTAGGTGCAGACTGGCTCCATGGGGCCCTGAAGGTTCAATAGAAGAACCTCAGGGTTCCATGACACAGCTGAGTAGGCGTCTGCTGTCTTGCTTTTTTCCATTTTTCTTATTGGGTAAGACCATATTTGAATAAAGGGTTTTTAATTTATTATAAAAATAATAAAAGTTACTGTACTTGTGGTTCTCTCCCCTCCAAAAGATTTTACCTTTATTTCTGTAATTATCAAAAGATACAAAAAGTGTATTTGACTCCCTCCTGTATAAAACTTGAAATAATAGCACATATTTAAACTGTAAGCTGACTTTTATAGTAAAATCTGTTTTAGACTATTATTAATAAATTAATTGTTTTAAATATTGTATATAAGAATAATTCTTTTTTTTTAAGATTTTATTTTTATTTATCTTTAGAGGGGAAGGGGGGAAAGAGAGAGGGAGAGAAACATCAATGTATGGTTGTCTTTTGTGCGTCCCCTGCTGGGAACTGGCCTGCAGGGAACCGGCCTGCAACCCAGGCATGTGCCCTGACGGGGAATCGAACCGTGATCGTGTGGTTCGCAGGCCCGCGCTCAATCCACTGAGCTACACCAGCCAGGGCCAAAGAATAATTATTATATTTAAATTCTTATATTCTTATATAGAAGAATAATTCTTATATTATAAGAATAATTCTTGTATTTAAAAATAATTCTTATATTTAAATTTAAGACCAAATTTATAATAATTAGTTACACATGTTTGTTACACTTGTTTCCAGACTCATTGGCAGTTTTCTTTTTCAATCATACTTTCTATTTTATCTCTTGATTGACTGGAAAACATTTTTTAAGTAATTGTTTCTCAAGAAGAAGCATTTGTCCTTTCAAGCTTTCTGTGCCCTTTCGTATAATAGATAGCACTGTGTGCAAGATTTATGGATCATGTACACACATACACAAATACCCCTTTTCAGTTTTTCTGACATTTAATGTTTCAGAAAAGGCCATGACCAAAACAAGGACTGTAATCTGTTTTCCATGATGACTATAAGTCCTCCCTTCTGCTTTTTACCACCCACTTTATTCTTGTTATTTCAAAACATTTTGCTAAGGCACATCTATATATGGGTCTATATTTTTTTTTTCTGGAAATATGTGGTAAAGCCTAAGTTTAGCCCCTTTCCATTTTATGTTGGCCTCTTCCTTGGTTTCTAGCTTGGAGCCTAGTCTTTAGTCTTTATTAAAAACTAGTTTTCTAGTCTTTATTCATATCATTTTATGTCTCATTTAATATGATTTTCTTTCTCTTCTGAAACTCCTTAAACATTGTCTTCCATATATGTTCTATTTACTGTAGCTCATCTGAGTTTTGATTATACAAAATTATGTTTTTAATTTACCCACTTTTTTCCTTATCTAATGCACTTTCTTCTTTTAAAATTTTTTATGTTTCAGTTACAGATGACATACAATATTATATTAGTTTTAGGCGTGTAACCCAGTGATTAGACAGTTATCTAACTTACAAAGTGAAAACCCTGATGACTGTAGTACCCATCTGGCACCTTGTGTACTTACTACAGTATCATTGACTATATTCTGTATACTATACTTCACATTCCTGTGACTATTTTGTAACTACCAGTTTGTGCTTCTTAATCCCTTTATCTTTTTCACCCAGCCCCTCTCCCCTTTGGTAGTCAGCAAAATGTTCTCTGTATCTGTGAGTCTGTTTCTGTTTTATTTGTTCTTTAGCTTCCACATATAAGTGAAATCATATCATATTCGTCTTTCTCTGTCTGACTTATTTTACTCAACACCATAGCCTCTAGGTACCTTCATGTCATTGCAGATGGTAATACTCCATTCTTTTTTGTGGCCCAGTAATAAATTCCATTTTATCTTATGTATCTACCATATCTTACTTATTCCTTCATCTGTTGATGGGCACTTAGGTTGCTTCCATGTTGTGGCTATTGTAAATAATGCTTGGCTAATGAACATATGGATGCATATGTTTTTGAATATGTCTTGTTTTGTTTTGTTTTCTGACAAATACCCAGAAGTGTAAATGCTGGGTCCTTCTTTGTCTGTTGTTAATAGCCTTTGTTTTAAAGTCTTATTTTGTTTGGTATAAGTATTGCTACTTCAGCTTTTTTTTTTTCCCATTTTCATTTTCATGAAATATTTTAACTATCCCTTCGCTTTCCAGTCTGTGGGCATCTTTTGATCTGAAATGTGCCTCTTACAGACAGCATGAGTATGTGTCTTGTTTTCTTATCTATTCAGACACTCTGTGTATTTTGATTGGAGCATTTAATCCATTTGCATTTAAACTAATTGTTATAAATATGTATTTATTCAAACTTTAAATTTTCTATTTCTTAAAGAAGACTATAACATTTCTTATGATACTGGTTTGGTGGTGATGTACTGCTTTAGCTTTTTCTTGTCTGTGAAACTCTTTATGTGTCCTTTAATTCTAAATAATAGCTTTGCTGGGTATGGTAATCTTGGTTGTAGGTCCTTGCTTTTCATCACTTTGGATATTTCTTGCTGATCCTTTCTGGCCTGCAAGTTTCTGATGAGAAATCAACTGAAATTTTATAGGACTTCCCTTGTGGGCAACTAATTTCTTTTTTCTTGCTGCATTTAAGATTCTCTTTTGTTTTTAATTTTTGGCATTTTAATTATGACACGTCTTAATGTGGGCCCCTTTGGGTTTCTCTTGTTTGGAAATCTGTACTTTCTGGATTTGTGTGTCTATTTCCTTTGCCAAGATTGGCAAATTTTCTGTCATTTTTTCTTATTTAAAAAATATTTTATTTATTTTTAGGGAAAGGGGAAGGGAAGGAGAAAGAGGGAGAGAAACATCAATGTGTGGTTGCCTCTTGTTCACCCCCTGCTGAGGGCCTTACCTGGCCCGCAACCCAGGCATGTGCCCTGACTGGGAGTCAAACCAGTAACCCTTTGGTTCGCAGGCCGGCACTCAATCCACTGAGCCACACCTGTCAGGGCTGGTTTTTTTCAGATATGTTTTTAATTTCTTGTTCTCTTTTCTCCTTCTGGCACCCCTGTGATGTGAATGTTGGTACACTTGATGTTGTCCCCTTAAACTAATGTAGTCTTCATTTCTGACTGGTCTTATTTTATGTTGTCTGTCTCTTTGTTGAGTTTATCTATTCCTCCCCTAAATTCATTGAACATTCTTATAAGCAGTGTCTTGAACTCTGCATCTGGTGCATTGCTTATTTCCATTTTGTTTTGTTCTTTTCCTGGAGTTTTGTTCTCTCATTTGGGACATGTTTCTTTGTCTCATGTTCCTCATTTTGGTTGCTGCCCTGTGTTTGTGTCTGTGTATGAACTGTTATGTCTCCTGGCTTGGTAGAGTGGCCTCATGTAGTAGGTGTTTTATGGGGTCCAGTGGCACAGCTGCCTTGGTTTCTTGAGCTGGGTGCTCCAGGTGTGCGTACCCCTCCCTGCTATGTGAGCCATGTGCACCCTCTTATTGCAGTTGAGCCTTGATTGCTTTTGGCATTTCAGTGGGAGGAATAGCCCTCCCCATCCCATGCTGATAGGCTGCAAGCACCAGCCCAGACGAGCTGCTGTACAGGGGCCCACCCCTAGAACAAGACTTGCTTCATTAAGGTTTAGGTGTCCGCTGAATTCACCCCTTAAGTGTGTCATTTATGGAGGTGGTTGGGTGGTGCTCCTGTGTGTTCCAAAGCTGTCTGCTGGGAATACTGGCTCTGGGACCTTGTGGGAGATGCAGGCCAAAGTCAGCTGCTACCTCTGCCCTGCCTGGGGCCACCCGGAGTGAGCTACAACTTGATCTGCAAATAGTTGCCACTTTTGCTGGGCTTAGAGGTGCTTGTGAGAGGCCAGACTGTGAACTGAGGCCAACTGCTGCCGGTGCTGGGCTGGGCTGCTTAGCAAGATATACAGAGCATGCAGAGGCCAGATGCAGCTTGTTTGGGGTTTGTGGACCTTTGAGAGAATTTTGGAAAGTCTGTACCATGAGCCAAGACAGTCCATTTGTGTGGAAATGCAATTGGAAGTGGCTTTAGGTGGGCCTAAAAGTTAGTTGGGGTGGAGTCTCAGGGAATCAGAGGGGCAGGGCTTACAGTTTAGCCAGGTTGGTGGAGACTCAGATAGTGGTACCCACCTGGTGGCTCTGTGCTGGAAGGGCTCAGCAAAGGAACAGTGCCTGGGAGAAAGCCACCACTCTAGCCTTCCTCCTTAAGCTGGACACTTCAGTTCCTCCGCATATCTCTAGTTTCTTTCAATTGCCCAGTGCTGGAGCTCAGATTAAATGAGTCTGACTTGCACAGACCCTTTAAAAGGAATATCTAGGAGCTCTCTGTCACATTTATCCACAATCTTCTCTGGCTTTCACAGCCAAAAGTTATGGGACTTCTCTTCCTGGTACTTGAACCCTGAGCTGGGGGGCCCACAGGAGCTCTGGCTTCTCAAGGGGGACCTCCAGAGCTGACATACTCCTCCTGATTTTCATCTGCCATACGTGGATGTGGGACCAGCCCATTTTGCATTTCTGCCCCTCTTAGCAGTTATAGGACTTCTCTTCAGCTAGATTTCAGGTGGTTCTGAATGATGGTTGTTCTGTAGTTCAGTTGTAATTTTGGTGTGGTAGTGGGAGCATGTGAGTGCCACCATCTTCCCTGGAAACCTCTAATTCACTTTCTTTTCCCATCCTATACTTTCTTTATGATTTTTGGCTTCTGTTTCATAGACACCATATCCTTTTGCGTTTTATGGTATATGATAAACAGGATTCTAAAATGTTCTTTTGATTTCTGTAGGAAGATCATTTTCATCGTCCTCAAGCTAATGTTCCTTTTTAATTCAGAAATATCTTTCTTTAGTCCTGGGGTTTTTTTTTTATTTGTTTGTTTTTGTTTTTTGGTTTATTACTTCTTCTCCATCTTTGAGTGAGGAGAGTAGTGTTTAGACTGAGTACTTCCTTCTTTCATTGTTAGTATATGCATTTGTTTGGGGCGGCTCTTATTCTTGTTTGTGTTCACTTGTGTACTGGTTGAATTGCTGAGATTTATAATTCGATATGTTTTAGGTTTAAAAAGCTCCTAGACCATTTCCAGTACTGGCAGGTTTTTGTCCACAGTAGCTCTGCTGGACTGAAAAAGGATCATGGTCTCATTTTGTTCTTTTATTGTCTAACTCCTAAAATTGCCAAGAGTCATCCTCTCCCTCTCAGGAGCACCCCTGTACCTTGCCATTCCTGCACTTCTCTCCCCCAGGCACATTACCTTTGCCTTTCTCTCTCCTAAGTTCCAAGGGCCTTTCTTTTGCTTCTGTAACTTGTTTCCTGAGCTTACACAGCCCAGCTGGCCTACTTCTACTATCTTTGTAGTTTTCTAAATAAACTTTCTCTTATAATTTGGAGGGGGTAGAAATTGAGAAAATGGAGTATATGAAAAACTTGAGTCGTAACTTAGTACTTTTGGGGTTTAAAAAAAAATGTCTCCCTGACCAGTGTGGCTCAGTTGGTTGGGCATCATCCTACAAAGTAAAGGTTGCCAGTTTGATTCCTGGTTGGGGCATGTGCCTGGGTTGTGGGCTGGTCAGGGCATGTGATGGGCAACAGATGGATGCTTCTCTCTCACACTGATGTTCCTTTTCCTCTCTTTCTCCCTCGCTTGCCCTCTCTCTAAGAATAGATAAAATCTTTTTTGAAAAATAAGTAAATAAATGTCTACTTTCACCTTTCAGGAAGTGTTACACTCTCCTTACACCACTACCCTTCTTCTTCTCCTTTGTTTTTTAAGGTTTTTTCTTTCTTTGGATGTAGAGCAGTAACAGAGGAGTGGGTATGTCACAAAGGAAGACACAGAATGATTAGAACTTGTGTTTCTGATTTGAAGGGACAGGTGACATGACCACTGGTCTTTACACCTGCTTTTAGGCAGGCATGGATTGTTTCTTGAGTTTTACCATTTCATTGAGGTGTCGGGAAAGGCTGCATTAGGGGCTGCTGGCCAGGTACTATTTTAAGCCTGAATGCAACATCGTTTTGTGTTAGAAAGTGCAAAAATTTAGAGTTTTTAAAATTTTAAATAAGCTGCCAGAGATTTCTTGATATCATGTATTTGTTTACAGATTTCAAAGGAATCTCACTTTCCAAAAGTAGATTGAATTTCATATAAACATTACACACAATCTTTGGCTTGCACATTCTTTAGTATGAATTAGGTAGTCACATTTACCCAAATCTACTTGCACTTTGCCTTTGATATTGTGGTTTATATAACTCTGTAAGAATTAATAGGAAGAGATTACACTTACAGGGAGAGCAGAAATTTGGAGATGGAAGGTTTTCTACTCTGGTCACTTTAAAAATGAAGTCTGAAAAGTCTCAGAAATTGAGTGTGCTGTAATATCTTCCATTTTTGCTTTTTACTGTTTGAAATGCTTATATCATTTGATTGGGAAATACCAGATTTTTTTTTTCTTTTCAAAATTCAAGCAAGAGTAGAGATCTTTTATTTAACACCAGAATAAATTCAGGAGTTGTAAGTCAAAATTGACCTTGGGTTAGTGGTTCTTTCCTTCTCTGTTATTGTAGGAGGCTTGAATTTTTCAAGGATTTCTGGCCACAGCTAAATTAACTATGTATTTACATTCTGGCATTCTTGAATCAGGACCTTGTATTCAACTAGTTAGTTCTCTCTTATGTGGGCATGGGTGTGCCTGGCTTGTCTGGTAAGAAACATGATGTAAATTCGTATCTCTTTTTCTTTGGAAACAACTGAAAAACAAAGAACAATTGAACATAAAAGAACTATATGTGTTTTTTCAATTCTATAACTTTTGGTAAGTGCTTAATTACCCTTTGTAAGTATTTAATCTGTAAGTGCTGTAAAGTACTTAATTGCCCTTTTTATGTATTTTGAAGATCTCATTTATCTTAGGGTTTTTTCCCTTCCTTGACAGTTGAGGCATATGTGATGTACTAGATTTAGCTGTACCTGGCTGTTGGGAGGAGTAAAATATGATCTATAGAAAAACAAGCTCACTTCTAATAACAGAATTCATCTTTAGTAAATAGGTGATACAAGTTTATTAAGAGAGAACAAAGTATTAAAAAAAAAAGACAGTTACTTCTTTGATCCTTAATTTTGCTTTTGATTTAACAACAAAAATAATTCTCAGACATTTCTAGAATTGTATTAACCTGTCTTCTTTGGGCATAATTAAAATTTTGTTCTCTATTGAAGGCCAACTGTGATTTGAGACGGCAGATTGATGAACAGCAAAAAATGCTAGAGAAATACAAAGAACGATTAAATCGATGTGTGACAATGAGCAAAAAACTCCTTATAGAAAAGGTGAGTGGTAAATGGTGGCCAGGACACTCCATTCCAAAGTGGTCGGTGTATATCATTGTTGTGGCTCATTATTCCTTCCTGGAGATGAAAGTATTTGAAACTAGGGCATTTTAGGAAAAGACTTCAAATTTGACAATTTGAGTTATTTCTTGCGTAGACACTTGAACCAAGCACCTAGAGGGATAATTTGGGACATTCTCTCTGGTTGTTTATTGCTTTGAGTGTGAGGTAGATTGGACATAAACATCTTGCCCTAGTTGAGTTTACTTGGGGTTTTGGTCCCCTAAATTTTTTATTTATCAGTTCAAGTGTGAATTCTATTACTATTACAAACATTTAGCAATAGTTACAATTCCACTTTAGAGATAGTATTTGGAGTAATGTATGCATATAATAATGTCATAATCCAGTGTTTTCGTACTGGAAAATAGTTAAGTTGGTATATACTTTTATGTATTTATTGGCTGACACTTCCTATATTCAGGGTCTAGCAGAAGTAACACCACTGAGTGTGGTTGGTAGGGTACATGAATGTCTTGCATGAGATGGACAGCAGTTTGAACATTTCACCTAAAATGTCAAATGGTGTCCTTGAGTGTGATATTGTTATGTTACAGAGTTACATGCTTATGATTTTCTAATAAAAGATTTTGATGTGATAAAAAAGGTGTTATTTGTGCCAGAACCTTTAGTTGATTGGTTGCAACTTGCTTTTCATAGTTATTAGTAACCCTTTCTAGGAAGTTTTATTTTAAATTACATCCTAGTACTTACTTATCTTATATTGAAAGCTTTAAGGTGGCAGTGAAATTATTACAAAATACAGGTTTGAGACAGACTGGTTGCTGAGATCTTTGGAATGTTGTTAAAATGACAGAATGCTGGTAAAAGTGGTGGATGATTTTATTGATGCCAAAGATACTGGGGAATTTTGCTTTATCTTTTAATTGAGTTCCATTAGGAAAATGAAATTATTTTCTACTATCTTTTTTCCCTAAGTCAAAACAAGAGAAGATGGCATGTAGAGATAAGAGCATGCAAGACCGCTTGAGATTGGGCCATTTTACCACTGTCCGACACGGGGCCTCTTTTACTGAACAGTGGACAGATGGTTATGCTTTCCAGAACCTTATCAAGTGAGTTAATTTACAATGATTAAATTGAGAGTTGATAAGTTGGTTTGGATTTTCAATTTTTTTTCCATGATTTTATTTCTTAATTTTTCAGGTACATTTTTAAAAATTCTATTTTATTGATTATGCTGTTACAGTTGTCTCAATTTTTCCCCTTTGCTCCCCTCCACCCAGTACCCCCCACTCTTTGAGGCAGTCCCCACACCATTATTCATGTCCATGGGCCATACATGTAAGTCCTTTGGCTACTCCATTTTCTATCCTGTACTTTACATTCCCATGGCTATTCTGTAACTACCTATTTGTACTTCTTAATCCCCTCACCTCTTCACCCATTCTCCCACACTCCTCTCCCATCTGGCAACCATCAAAACACTCTCTGTTTCCATGATTCTGTCTCTGTTCATCTTGTTTGCCTATTTTTTATTTTTTTAGATTCAATTGTTGATAGATATATATTTTTTGCTCATAGTTTTGATCTTATTTTTCTTAAATACATCTCTTTAACATTTCATATAATAATGGTTTGATAATGATAAACTCCTTTAGCCTTTTCTTATCTGGGAAGCTCTTTATTTGCCCTTTGATTCTCAATGATAGCTTTGCTGAATAGAGCAATCTGGGCTTTAGGTCTCTGTGTTTCTTGACTTTGAATATTTCTTGCCAATCCCCTCTAGATGGCAAAGTGTCTTTTGAGAAATCAGCTGGCAGTCTTATGGGAACTCCTTTGTAGGTAACTTCTTTTCTCTTGCTGTTTTTAAGATTCTCTCTTTATCTTTAACCTTGGTATTTTAATTATAATGTGTTTTGGAGTGGGCCTCTTTGCATCCATCTAGGTTGGAACTCTGTGCTTCCTGGGCTTGCATGTCTGTTTCCTTCACCACGTGAGGGAATTTTCTTTCACATTTTTTCCAAATAGATTTCTTGCTCTTTCTCTTCTCCTTTGGTAGCCAATGATGTGAATGTTGGAACACACGAAGTTGTCCCAGAGGCTGCTTATACTATCCTCTTTTTTTAAAAATTCTTTTTACTTTTTGTTCTGTTTGGTTGTTATTTTTCTTTCTTATGTAATCATCATCATCATCAATATTCCTAGTAGTTAGTGATAGTCATCTTTTTAAAGATATCATTTATTTATTTTTAGAGAGAGAAAGAGATGGAGAGAAACACTGATGTGTGAGGGAAACATCAAGTGGTTGCCTTTTGCACGTGCCCCAGCTGGGGACCAGGCCCAAAACTCAGGCCTGGGCCCTGATGGGGAATTGAACTGGCAACCTTTTACTTTACAGGATGATGCTCAACCAACTGAGCCCTGCTGGTCAGGGCATCTTCTTTTAGTTACAAAAGTATCCAAAAGAAGTGGTTATAGTCGTCACTTTTAGTCATATGTGTAAAGAAATGTAGGGAATGAGCTGAGTCCTGAAAAAATTTAACAAGTAATCAAAAGAATAACAAATGGGTTTTACATTAAAGCTTAAAAGAATCAGAATTGCCAGAAATCTTAGATCAAGGTGTCACCAGGACTGTGCTTCCTCTGAAGCCTCTAGCAAGGATCCTTCTTTGGCATTTTGCAGCTTCTCCCTTGAGTAGTTCATACCATTTCACAGTTCCTGATAGATACAGAACTTACAGGATTTTGGGAATCTTTAAAAATTCTTAACTGGTATATTTAGGCACTGTATAAATCACTGCTAAAATAAATTTTGGTGAAAATATGTGCATTGCTTGCTCTTAAGTACCTCCTATTAGTTCTATATAATATGGTTAGAGTAAGTATTGCAGTTTTTTGTTGTTGAAGGTGCCTGAATTTTTTTTTTTTTGAGCTACTGTAACAAAATACCATAAGCTGGATAGTTCAAAACAACATAAATTTATTTCTCACAGTTCAGAAGGCCATCTGTCATTTTTGTAGCATGACAGAATCTCTGTTTTGTTTCATTTTTTTTTAGCCTATTCTCAGATGAAATCTCTTCTACCCTTTGCAATCTCAAGGGAAGATCCCCCTTTGGTGTTCTGTGGCAGCATATCTTAGAATTCTGCTTCCATTGCATCCTCCATGTGTCTCTGCATCTTTTCTCTCTTCTTATAAGGACACCAGTCATACTGGATTTGGGACTCACCATACTCCAGTATGACCTCATCTTAACTACTTACGTCTTTAATGACCCTATTTACAGAGGTCATAATGTGAGATACTAAGGGTTAGGAGTTTCACATGTATTTTTGGGTGACACAGTTCAACCCGTAATGGTGCCTAAGGCTTACTGTCTTGTTTTCTTTTATAGGCAGTGGCTTTCTAAATAGAGTGGTTAGGATTTGAGTGAGATGGATTTATTAGGTCATCGATACTTCTGTAAAAGTTAGTGGAAGTACTTCCCATGGGTGATGAAGAGCGAGCACTCTAAAATTGATGGCATGCAGGAAATATTTGAGGTTCAACTGTACAAAAGGCACTGTCATTTATATTGGTGATAGAACAGTTGATAAGACATAGTTCTTAAGAGAATTAAGACATAGTCTAGACTTTGTACTCTGAAAATAAACCATAATGAAGTATCACTGATAGACTTTCTTCAGATAACTTTTATTTGTAAGTATAAATAGGTAAGAAGTTTCAAGAATGTCAGGAATTAGTATAGGAATCCTTGTTAGATATACCATTGATCTCTGGTACATCATTTTTTTATCTCAAGGCAAGCTCTTTGCTTTTTATTTTAAAGATTTTATTTATTTATTATTAGAAAGAGGGGGAGAAACATCAGTGTGTAGTTGCCTCTTATGCATCCCCAACTGGGGACCTGGACCACAACCCAGGCATGTGCCCTGACTAGCAATCAAAACAGCAACCGTTTGGTTTACAGGCTGGCACTCAGTCCGCTGAGCCACACCAGCCAGGGCAAGCTCCTTCATTCTTACGAGGTATAGTTTACAATGTCCCAAAGATGTTTTGGCATCTGTATACCCTTTGTTTATGGTTTATAGTTTATGTTTATGTTGGTTGTGGGCTCCTTTCTTGGTAATCTGTAGAGGTTCAATGCATGGATTCTCCCTGAAAACAATGGAAAATCTGTTTTATTTTTATGTTTAATAAAGGTGATTGCTAAAATCTCAACCTTCCAAAAGCATTTAGTCTTCAGAGACAAAATGTTACAGCACTCTATTAGCCCACTGTAGTTTATAATTTAAACTACATATTGTCTTAAAGTTTATTATTTAAACTACGTATTATCTGGTTGTCTCCAGAGAGTTCAGGGTGCCTTTTACTCATGGCCCCTTATGGGGTAGAAATGAGCTAAAGGTTTTTTTAACCTTTTTTTTTTAATTGGGAAACTCATGTTGAGAGAAGCTAATTTTTTTAAGGACATCCACTGAATCAGAAGGAGGATTATGATTTTTACCTAAAGATTCTGTGTCTCAATCCAGAGTTTTTTCAAGCCAGGAATTATTCTTATACAAATATTTTGGAGGGGAAGGCATATCTCTAATGATAGTGTAAAGCTTTTTTTAGACAAGCAGATAACTCTTGAATTAAAATTTTTATTCTGTTGTTGACATCTAATCAGTATCTCAGCAAGAGAATTGTATTTTCAAACGAATGGTTATTTACAGTACTCAGATTAGGTTAACCTTGCTTACAGTCTTGCCTGTATAGTTACAACAGCATAAATTGTATTATGGGCAGTTTTTCTGGAGTCTGGACTTGTTTTTCTGGTTGCCATTCTTCCAAGAAAGATACGCTGAATCTGGAACAGATCTGGAGGTGACAACTGCAGTGTTCAGGGAAGAGGGTAGAAGACATTTCACTTGAGAATAGGTTAAAAAATAGATTCTGTCATTCTACAAAAATGAGGGTTGGCTCAAGAAAGGATGATGGGGAAAGTGCGTTAAAGACAGGGATGGAGCCAGCATTTGGCTGTCAGCTGTGATAGGTGCTTTAACAATTTTAGTCTGTTAAATGGTGAATCCCAACTCCTGATATATTTTTATGTACCTAGTCTGTAAACCTTAATATCTGTTAGGTGGTGGGATACATGAGAGGAAGTGGTTTTCTTATGTTGATATTTTTATTGGCTCCCAATTTATAAACTTTTTGTTTCCCATAGGAAAATTAGATATCTTATTAGGAAACCGTCTAATGGTAATGATGTTAGTTAGATGTCTGAAGAGTCTTTATATATGGTTTTTATTCATTTAATGTGCCATTCCTTAGGGAGTTTTTACTAGTTGTAAGACTTCACCATGCTTTTTCTGTGGGTAGGGGTGGTAACGGCTCTCTTAGACTAGAATAAATGAAAATCTTTTTTTACTTTGTTTAGCATCCTTCACATTTGTATCTTTCTAGATATAATTTGAGGAAACTTTAATCCAAGTAGAAAATAAAAAGTCACTTGGAACCTATAGCACTTTTTTAAAAATATAAATACAGTTATTGAATGGTTTCATACCAGAGATTTGTTTTCTTAACTGTTAAAAAAGGAGTCAGAAAATTCTTCCTTTTTAGTCCGAAAACAAGCTCATAGCAGAAATTGGGTAATTTTCTTTCCTGCCCACTTTTTCACTGAGAGATTAATCATAAACAGTATCTTAAAGCACAGATTCATTCTACAAAATCTTTCTGCCATCAATTATTTGGCTCTTTCAAATTGAAGATAAAAATCAATCTCTGCTTGATTTAAAGGTTCTTATTTTTTCTGATGTTTATTAGATATGCAGGTGAAAGTGTTAAAATTTTTTTGATCTTCCTCTGTACCACATCTTTCATATCTCTAGGCAACAGGAAAGGATAAATTCACAGAGGGAAGAAATAGAAAGACAACGGAAAATGTTAGCAAAGCGGAAACCTCCTGCAATGGGACAGGTGCCTCCAGCAACCAATGAGCAGAAACAGCGGAAAAGCAAGACCAATGGAGCTGAAAATGAAACGTATGTTTTTTTAAATTAATGTGAACTGTGAGATACACACTCTTCTCCAAATACAAATGTTCTCTCAAATATCACTGGGGGGAAAATGATAAGTTATGGAGATTTCTAGAGCTTAAGTTTTTTAAAAATTTATGTTAATGAATTTGCTCAAGTCATATAAAATAAACTCATTCTCTTAGAGCTGATCTTAGGGGGTTTTGAATGAGAGGGAGAAGTAATGTCACCTAACCTGACATCATGATCTTTGGCCACCATTAGAACAAATGTGATGTCATCGTGGTGTTCAGATGATGTGATTGCTTATGTGTGGCTGGTTCTGGGTTATGGCATGTTGTTATCTTGCAGGGGTTATGAGGCAACTATTTCAGACTGAAGAATACCCAACTAAAAAATGATCCGTACTGCTTGAAGAGCATTCAATTAAACAGCCACAAATTTAGCAGTACGCTAAGAAAACATAAGTATCTTAGGAAAAGGACATTTTCCCAATAAGCCAAATCTTTACATCACCAGTATTTTACTATGCTGGGGTACTTAAGAGAAACGCCAGTGTCTTCAATTGCAGTATAGTCATCTTTTTCACTGCCAATCAACAGTTAGTACATAGAAGGGATAGAATATCCTGAGCACAAATGCTTTCCTTTTCCACCCCTACCTCACGTCAGAGTTTCCTCTTTGATCATTGAATTCCTGACCACTAAGAATCTTACTCTGGGACAGGAATTGGCATACTTTTTCCAAAATGGGCCAAGATAGTATATACTTTAGGCTTTGCAAGCTAGTGAGTCTCTGTTGCTCAATAGAATAGCCTGAATGCAGCTATAGACAATACATATATGAATGGATGTGGCTGCATTCCAATAAAAAAAACTTCACAAAAGCATACTGTAAGCTGAGTGGCCCGCTGCTGTATGTAGTTTGCCAACTAGACAGGAACTACCAAACAAAATTGGCATGAGAAATAAACCTATATGTTGCTTACCTATTTAAAATATTTTTTTTGCTTACCCTGAAGACATTTAAGTCATCACCTGTCTTCAAGAGGCTTTCAAATTAAAAAGGAAAGAAAAACTCTACTGATAATAATGTAGGCAATATCTAAAGAATTGATGGTAGCCATGAAGTTGGTTTCTAATTGGATTACTTGAAATTTAAAGTCTCTCTATATATCTCTATATATAGCCATTGGTACTGTAATTAGTGCATCTGTAGTGGCTGCATCGGTTTTTCAGGGGGAAGAGAATTTTTGTAAAGCTGGCATTGTGGGATTCTTTAATGGAAAATAAGTTTCAGATATAAGGATAGCCACAACCCTGGCTGGTGTAGCTCAGTGAATTGAGCATGGGCCTGTGAACCAAAAGAATCTCAGTTTGATTCCCAGTCAGGGCACATGCCTGGGTTGCAGGCCAGCTCCCAGCAGGGGACACATGAGAGGCAACCATACATTGATATTTCTCTCCCTCTCTCCATCCCTTCCCCCTAAAGAAAAATGAATAAAATATTTTATTAAAAAAATATACACAAATAGCAGATAGTATGATTTACTAACTAGCATGTCTTTTGCTTTTTATGTTTCATATCAGTTTACAAAAACATATTAACCCATAATCCACCTCAAGTTTAATAATATTTGTATTATACCATTGTTCAAAGTCCATGACGTTCCAGAAATGTATCCTTATTCCAGTGAGAAAGATGGCTCAACACCAGTCCTCACCCCATACATACCTGACGTGTTAAGGAGCCTTTCTCTTGACATTTATTTAGTAAGTCAATGTTAAATGCTTATTATATACTCAACTCTGTTCTGGACACTGGGGATACAGAGGTAAATGCTACAGCTCCAGCCATAGGAGTTCGCAGTTGATTTGTGGAAAATGAGAGATGAGTAAGCTAATAATTACATTTATTATAGGCTTGGGAAACATCTTCACTCTTACAGCTCTGAATAACTTAAAACTAGTTTCTAAATAAAAAATAATTTTCTTTCAAAAAATCTAAGTAGGAGCCCAGATTTGAGAGATTGTCCAGGCAAATGCTGTACACATTAATCTGATCATTGTCTTTCATATATTCTTTTTGTGAAGGGAATCTTCCTCCAGTATTACTTGAAAATTATTTAATTCTAGGGCATAAAACTATTATTCACTTAGGAGCATAAAGAAGGCATAAGTTTAAAAAAGGCATAGGTTATTTCCTTGCTGTAGAACAATAATTAGAATTTAATCTGGGCCAATAGTATGTCAGTAAATAGTTGCCATCTGGAGTGCTGTGTAAAATCCAAGCTGGAAAGCATTTGGTCCAGTTTTTAATTAGAGTATCAGAGGCTTGGCTCATCCCTTTAGCCAGAAAGCCAAAAACAGTCTTCTGGAGTTTGGGAGTGAGTCACATTATCCTTTCCTGGTATTGAAATTTCAGGCAGAGAAAGAATTTTTAGTTATGATTTTTATTTCTTCCCTTTTTTTACTAGTGTGATAAAGTAACACATATATAAGTATTTCTGCAACTATGAAGAGATTGCCAAAGTAGCTCTACCTGGTGTATTTCTTCTTCTTTTTACTCTTTTTATTTTCTTTACATTAAGGCTCTGTTTTGTAGGCTTTCCTGGCTGATTAGGATAGCTGTTTCTTCTTCCTCCTGCTATTTATTTAGCATGTATCTGAGAGGGGCATCTAAAACTTTGAAGTGTGTCTGTGTGTGGTTTTTAGCATGTGGAGGGTGAAGGTGGAGGAGTATCTTACATCCCACTTGAAGTAGGAGCATGCGATTGGCGACAGTGAAACATGAAATGAGTGCTCACTCATCAAGTCAGCCCTTTGAGAGTTGTGTTTAAATAGCATTTTACAAATTGTATATTCTTTTCACATTCTCATTTAATAGTCAAAACACCTTTGTTGGATAGGTGGATTTTTAGATAGTTTAGATATGCTAGATTTTTAGGAAACAGAGACTCAAGAGTTTAAAGTTGCTTTCCCAAGGTCATAGGGCCCAAGTTGCACTTTGAACCCTAGTCCTCACACTGCAGATTTTGGACTCTTTCCACTCTTGTTCTTCTTTTTGTTATTATAGTATTAAGGTCTAAGAGTTAGCAAAAATAATCAAATCCATTGGCTTATTATTTTGTCCTTAAAAAAAATTTAGACATAAAATTTTTGGCTACCTCTCCTAAAGGATTTTCACCTGAGTAACATTTGGGACAAAACCAGTACCATAAATAGTGTAAAATTACATCACATTTATATTACTATTTCTTGCAAATTAGACTTTTGGCTTCAAAGCCCTTCTTTCACAGCACATCTGATAAATCACGGGAGTTTTCTCGTATCATAGGACTGCAAGATAAGCTTTTACTTGGTTTAGCAAAGAGACTGAATATACTATATAGCATGCTTTGGCATTTCTCTTTAAATAGGTGCACTATGATTTAAAATAATTTATTAAATTTCTACCATTATTTTCCAGGTTAACATTAGCAGAATACCATGAACAAGAAGAAATCTTCAAACTCAGATTAGGTCATCTTAAGAAGGTACATAGAAAGAGAGATACAATTTTTAATTTACATTTGGTGTGGAAATAAGTTGGTTTTTTGGGCTAATGTGTTAGTTTCACATACCTGCAGAAATCTCTTACGATATTTTAAATCACATAGCAGCTCATATATTTTACCTAAACTAGCTAAGAAGAAAAGGTCTTATATCAACCATGTTGTAACATAAAGGCATCTACACAGAATTTGTTATTGATGATGTTTACAGGAGCATCTTAGGTGTAGGTTGCTCAGTTATTTAATCCAGTTGCTCATACATTTTTGGTAGCTGCTCCTTATGGTGGTGATGGTCAGTAAGCATTTAATAAACTGCTATAGGTGCCTGTTTGTTTTGTTCCCACTGGGTTCTCAAATCTTATTACATCAAAGAAACTTACAGCACCCAATATAATCCATACTTGCAGAACAGAACTAGATAAAGAACCTGATATATTTTTTAAGAGATTATATTTTTGTATGTACATACACAAAATATTTCTGGAAACTTAGACAATAAACTTAACAGTGGTTACCTGGGGGAGTGGGCATAGAGGGAAGGGAGCAAAAGGGCAGAGGACTCTTCCTTTTGCTACTGTCATTTTTGTATGACTCGAATTTTATTATAGGCTTGGTTTTTAATGACAAAAAAATCTAGTCCTTTAAAAAAATTTTTTTAGTGCAAAACATGCTCCTGTAAGTGTTCATGAGAAACATGTCTCTGCTCATGTTTTTGATATGAGATTCTGGAAAGATAACATTTCTTGTGTTCTGAGCTATATGTTTTCTTTTCACTTTAGGAGGAAGCAGAAATCCAGGCAGAGCTGGAAAGGCTAGAAAGGGTTAGAAATCTACATATCAGGGAACTAAAAAGGATACATAATGAAGATAATTCACAGTAAGCCATTTGGGAGTATGTTGGGATAGAGACTGCTGAGCACTTTCTGACATGAATTGAATGGTCTAGAACAGTGATTTTCAACCAGTGTGCACAAGAAGCTATTTAGTCCGAGGCAGTGACCTCTTCTCCTTTAGATTGTGAAATAAAAAAATGACAGCAGCCGACATAACAGTAGCTGTCCAGTGTGACTGAATCAAAATTAAGCCTGTTTTCTTGGTCAGATTTTCAAAAAATACAGTTTTTGGTATACTGCAAAATTTTAGTAATTAGTTTATGTATGCCATGAGATTAAAAAAGTTGAAAATCACTGGTCTGAAATGATATTTTTGTTTAATAATAAACTTGGTAACTTGATTTCATGGTGTATGTGGTTCTGTTGGAGTATGTAATACAGTTCTATGAACAAAATTATGATTGTAAACATGGTAGATTTATATAGTAAATATTTATCTGTACATATAACATGTTTATACAAGTAGCAGTCACTTGAACTATAGCTTTGTGTGGTGGGATACACTGTGTACTCACATTTCCCTACAGAACCTTACCAAAGGGAAGAATTGGTGACATTGGGCTGTTGTGGAAATATTATTCAGTTGAGATGCCATCTGTTTTTTCAGTGACCTTTAAGGACCATTCAGCTGTTGAGATTTTAAGCAAGACTATGAAGTTCAGTACTGATTTAAATGAATGTCCACCTTTGTTTATAAGTCATTTAAGAGACTGAAACTGTGAAAAGGAGACAGCAAGTGGGAAATGGCTTCTGTCTCGAATCTCTTTCTTCCCACGTGCTTTGGATCTGAAACACCATTTTTTGACATAGCTATAAGTCGTGTATTTTTGTTTGGCTTGTGTGAGCCATGGACTTGTCTTTCTGTAAAGTGCCAGGCAACAGCTGTTACTGAGCACTCTCTCTGTCAGGCATAGTGCTAAGTGCCCCTGTGTTCTGTCATGTAATCTTCACAGTAACCTGATGAAGTAGATCATCTTCAATAAATAGATCTGGAAATATGCTTAGGAAAAATTCAGTTAACTTGACCAGGGACCACTAACTAGTGGACCAAACAAAGAGTTCAACTTGGATCTGTCTGATTCCAGAGTTCATTGTCATACAGTAATGTTGTCTCTCTCCAGCGGCATGCTGCTGACTCAAAATCAAAATAATTTCAGGATTAGTAGTGGGGCTGTTTAAGATTAGGGGCTAGATAGAAGTATTTTTAAAGTTATTTTTGCCAGAATCTCTTATTTCTTTGTCGCCTTAGAAAACAGAACAAGGTGGTATCCTATAGGGGAAAATAGTTATATCATGAAAACTTTGTCTTATGGAGAAAAAAATGAATGCACCTAGAACATGTGACTCACTTTCTAATCACATCTGTTTTTAAAGCCTTGTAAAATACTGTAATTTCACTGTATATAGTTATGTAATGGTGGGAGGATGTGGCTCTTGAATAGTTTGGAGGAAGTGAGTAACACTTTGAAAATCTCTGCTCTAGTGTAGTCGTCTGCCCCCCTCACTTGATAGCTGGGCTGTCAACACGTTTACAGGGAGGGAGGTCAACCAAAGACACAGGTCTGGTTGTGGCTGCGTGGAGACTGGCGCCTGTGTCTCATGGCTCTACAGCTAATGCTGTTCGTGGTAACTCTGCAGTATCTTTGAATTCTGTAACTGTCTTTATGCTCAGAATTAGCTATATTGGCTTTGAGTGCACAACTGTCAGCAGCAGCTATGGTAATGTGTGTAACATGTTAAATACTTGGGGAAATTTTGCAAACTTGGAAGATTGTGTAATCCTTGACCTCAGAATATTATGTATTCCCTGTTCCCACAGATTTAAAGATCATCCAACGCTAAATGACAGATATTTGTTGTTACATCTTTTGGGTAGAGGAGGTTTCAGTGAAGTTTATAAGGTAAGTATGAGGAGCAGCTACAGAGATTAAGGGTTAAGTTACTGGTTATTAACAGCTGAGGGAACATTTAGAATAATGATATCTGTGGATCGGTATCTACTGGTTGAAATTCAAAACTTTTAAGAACTGTTTTTAATAAACTTCAGTCACTAAGCAGGATACAAGAGTTTACCCTGTTTTCAAGTTTGAAAACTAAATAATTATAGATTTTTTTTAAACAGGGAGGAAAAACACTAATTTCTGGGCAGTGGAATTATGGTGATTTTTATTCTTGTTCTGCACTTTCAGTTAACTACATTTGCTAGCAATGTGTATGTATTATTTTTATTCTCATAAGAATTTGTTTTTAACGAAGTAGATATGTTACAGTTAATTCTTATTTGAAAGACTGCTTTTGATGTTCTCCTGTATGTCAGAGTAGCACTGGCATTTTGAAGGAGGGTCCTGGCTTAGAGTAAAATTCAGCCAGTTTTAAATATAGCTGCCATAGCCATAACATATTCACCAGCCACAGCCTCTTTAAATTTCTCTAGATGTTCCTGGTGTCTGGCTTTTAAATGCTGAATTGATTTCTTAAGTGATCTTTACTGCATGGCCCTTGATAATTCCCTGTTTTCTATGGGGTAGCCTTCACTATTGGGTTTTGTTTTATGCCTATATGAATTAATCTTTTGTGTAAAATAATTAGTTTCCACTTCACAAAAAACAGTGAAAACTAGTTTTGCTGGTTGCTCTTTTTTACTGTTTTTTGAGGTAATATGTACATAAAGTTTGTAATTTTAATTAACCATTCTTAAGTGTACAATTCAGTGGTATTAAGTACATTCACAATGTTGTGCAACTATCATTGCTGTCCATTTCTAGAGCTAAAGTAATATTTTTAGTATGCTGCTAGGTTTGATTTTCTAGTATTTTTTAAATATATTTTGATGATTATGCTATTCCAGTTGTCCTATTCCCCCTCTTCATTCCCTTCCACTCTGCACACCCTCTCCCACCCACATTCCCCACCTTTAGTTCATGTCCTTGTCATAAGTTCTTTAGCTTCTACATTTCCCATACTATTCTTGCCTTCCCCCCTATTTTCTACCTACCGTCTCTGCTACTTATTCTCTGTACCTTCCCCCCCTTTTCCTTCTCCCACTCCCCTGTTGCTAACCCTCCATGTGATCTCCATTTCTGTGGTTCTGTTCCTGTTCTGGTTGTTTGCTTAGTATGCTTTAGTTTTGGATGTGGTTGTTAATAATTATGAGTTTTCTGTCCTTTCACTGTTCATATTTTTTATCTTCTTTTTCTTAGATAAGTCCCTTTTACCATTTCATATAATAAAGGCTTGGTGATGATGAACTCCTTTAACTTACCTTATCTGGGAAGCACTTTATCTGTCCTTCCATTCTAAATAGAAGCTTTGCTGGATAGAGCAGTCTTGGTTGTAGGTCCATGCCTTTCATGACTTGGAATACTTCTTTCCAGCCCCTTCTTGCCTGTAAGGTCTCTTTTGAGAAATCAGCTGACAGTCTGATGGGAACTCCTTTGTAGATGACTGTCCCCTTATCTCTTGCTGCTTCTAGGATTCTCTCCTTCATTTTAATTTTGGGTAATGTAATTATGGTGTGCTCCTTCTTGGGTCCACCTTCTTTGGGACTCTCTGAGCTCCTGGACTTCCTGGAAGTGTATTTCCTTTGCCAGATTGGGGAAGTTCTCCTTTATTATTTGTTCAGATAACTTTTCCACTTGTTGGTCTTCCTCTCCCCCTTCTGGTACCCCTACGATTCGGATGTTGGAATGTTTAAAATGTCCTGGAGGTTCCTAAGCCTCTCCTCTTTTTTTTTTGAATTCTTGTTTCTTTATTCTTTTGTTTGTTTGTTTCTTTCTTTCTTTCTTCTGGTCCACTCCCTTGATTTGATTCCCAGTTTCTTTTCCATCACTATTGGTTCATTGTGCATTTTGCTTCATTTCACTTAGTGTAGCCTTCATTTTTTCATCTAATTCGTGACCAAAGTCACCCAATTCTGTGAGCATCCTGATCACTAGTGCTTTAATGGTGCCTCTGATAGTTTGGCTATCTCTTGGTCGCTTAAAAGTATTGGCTCTGGGGCTTTTATCTGTTCTTCTGTTTGAGCCTCTTGGGGGGCGGGGGGCGCGTCTGATTGCGTCTGTTATGTAGTGAGGGGTGGAGCCTTAGGTGTTCAGGGTAGGGCAACTGGGTAGCTGGGTTGTGACCCTATACCTGGGGGCGGGGTCAGAGAGGGAACAATGGCACTTGCTCTCCTCTCTCTTGGATTTCAGTCCCTTCTGCCGCTTCCCACTAGCAAATTGGGCCCTTCTGCTGCTGGTTCCTGGGTGGGTGGGCTTGTGTATGTTCTAGGACCCTGTGGGTCTCTGCAACAAACTCTCCTGTGAGGCTGGAAGTTTCTCCTGGCACTTCAGCCCCCATAATGTGTTTTCAGTTTGTGGTTTTAAGCTTTATTTCCCGGCGCTGGGGCCCAGAGTTGCTCGGTCTGTCTCACTGCTTGTTTTTGTCTGGTTTATCTGTGCACAAATGTGTGACCACAGTCAGCCAGCCACCTTGCGTACCTCTCTGGGTCTGCTCATTGCCACCCCCTGCCTGGGGTTCGCCAGCCACTGCTTTTTCCTGCTGTGACCCATCTCTGCTGGCCACCAACTCTACCCCTCTTTCCATTCTGCATGAATGGTTGTTGGACTTTCGTATAGTTCAATTTTCTGTCAGTTCTGGTAGTTTTTCTGTTTCTAAATTTTTGTTGTCCTTAATTTCAGTTGTGCAAGGAGGCAGTGTGTCTACCTATGCCTCCATCTTGGTGGGAAGTCTTGATTTTCTAGTATTTTATTTCTATTTTTTATCTGTGTTTATAAGTGGTACTGACCCATACTCATCTTTTGAATGCAAGCAGCATTGTCTAGCTTTGATATCATGGTCATCCTAGAGTGACTAGAATTTCATTACATGGGAATTGTTAGCTTCCTGAAAGTTTCTCAGAGCTGACTCATAATCACCTGGGTTGGTATCATTTTAGAGAAAACTGTTTGATCACCTTTTCACTTCCCTCCAAAAATCCTGATCCAGTCAGATTTTCTTCTAAAGTCGGTTTTGGTAGTGTAATTTTTTTCTGGAAATCTTTTATATTTCATCTTGATTTAAAAATATCGTCCATTCCTTAGTTATTGTTATTCCTCTTCTTGACTAGTAGGTCAGAGATTAGTCAGTGTTTTTTTTCCCTGTTAAGAATCAACTTTGTTTTGTTGATCAGATCTGTTGTTTGATTTGCTTTCTATTAACTTTTGCTTTGAATCCTTTCTTCCTTCTACTTTCTTTGTTTTTATTTGTTTTCATTCTTGAATCATATGCTTAGTTTATATTTGGTTATTTTGTATTATAAAAAAACATAAAATTTACCATTGTAACCATTTTTAAGTGAATAGTTAAGTGTGTTGGGTATGTTCATGTTACTGTGAAACAGATGCCAGAATTCTTTCATGTCACAGAACCAAAACTCTAATGGTTATCAACAGTTCTTCTTTTCCTCCCTTCCCATCCTTTGTAACTGTAGTTCTTTCTGTTTCTTTGAAATTGGCTACTTCAGATACAGCACATAAGTGGAATCACAGTGTTTGTGTTTTTGTGACTGGCTTATTTCACTTAGCATAGTGTCCTCAAAGTTCTCCTTGACTGGTATGGCTCAGTGGGTTGGGCATTGTCTCACAAAGTGAAAGGTTACTGGTTATATTCCTGGTCAGGGCACATGCCTGGGTTGTGGGCCAGGTCCCTGGTTGGGCATTCGCGAGGCAATTGATTGATGTTTTTCTCTCACATTAATGTTTTTCTTTCTCCCATTTTCTCTCTCTAAAAGTAAATAGTTTTTTAAAAAGAGTTCATTGCTGTTGAAGCATATGACAGGATTTCCTCTTTTTTAAGGCCGAATAGCATCCATTCTATATATCTACCAAATTTTCTTTACCCATTCGGCTGCCAGTAGACATTTGGGTTGCTTTGTCTTGTCTGTTGTGAATAGTACAGCTTTGAACATGGTGCAGATACCATATTTTTCGGACTGTAAAATGCACTTTCCTCTCCGCTCCGTCCCCCCCCCCCCCAATTTGGGAGGATCAGGGGGTGCGTCTTATAGTCTGAATGTAGCTTTACATCTACATTGATGAAATATTATTTATGTTATTAAATATTTTACTACATTTTTTGCTTCAAAAATTTTTTTCTATTTTCCTCCCCTAAAACCTAGATGCATCTTATGATCCAAAAAATACAGTAATCTTTCAGTTCTTTTGGTGATGTACCCAGAATTGGGACTATTCCTTTTCTTTAAATCATCAAAATTGGTTATTGGAACTTCCTTCCCATTTACTAGTGTTTTCTTTATCTTGTTTTTTTCCTTATGTATTCTTCAAGCATTTTAACATTTGTGAAATCTACATGCTGCTTACAATGATACATATGTTTAATGTAGGTTATTTTTTATGTTTGTTTGTTTGGGGTGGGTTTTGCTGTTCTTCACTCACCAAAAGCCTTTCTTAAATCAGAGGTGGATCACAGTGCCTTGGGTTAAAAAATGTGGAGAAAAATGATACTTAAAATATCATTAGTGTTCTTATAAATGAAATGGTATTTAATATGGCTTTTAAAGACTTGAAATGGTTCTCTGCTCTTAAAGCCATGATGGTGTACATGCTTGGTGGACTTCAAACTGTAGGAAAAATAGAGTTTAAAAGTTTCCATTTCTGTGAAATAAGATACTTTGTTTGAATGGAGTGGTTTTTATATTTTAAAAAATACTGGTTTATATTCAGTGTAAATTTGAAGTTTCTTTTATAAGAAGCCATCTCTTGAATGCAGCACTTACCTGGAGGCAGCTTACATTTTAAAAGACCTATAGAGCAGCTATGACCGTTCGTGGACAGCGTGTCTGCGCCTGTGGCCTTTATGTGTTCACACATATGTGGAAACTAGCAGATGGGTGGTAAATAATGTTGGAACTGATGTACTAAATTTTTTTAAATCTTGACTTTAAAAACTAAGAGAAACTATTCTAAAGGAATTCCTCATAAATTCTTTTGTGTGGGAGAAATCATCTGTTGTATAAAAATGCTATTTTATCAGATGATTTACACCCAACATTATTCCCATGATAGAGGACCTAGCTGATGCTGGATTTGCCAACAGAGGTAGTCTTTGAGGAAAGCATGTCCCTTTGTTGGGACAGTGCCGGAGAAGTGGCTTGGTGAGACTACCTTCAGACACTGTTGGGACCAGAAACTGCTTTTTATTTACTCAGCCAGCATATAGGAGAGGGATTAAAGGCAGGGATTTAGTTTTGTTTCTGTTTTAATCAACACAGTGTGACAAATCACAGAGTTATTTTCTAAACAAATGTAGCAAAGAAGTGCATCCTGAGGGGTGATTTCTCAAGAAGGCAGTCTGTATCCCCAGCATTTCAAAAGTGGCAGGACTTGTCTTTGAAGCATGTCAAGTCCCAGTGTCAGGTGAGGGACAAGAGACAACCTAAGGGAGAAAAGTCTCAAATAGGGTAAATGATGTCCAGAAAGAGAATTATTTGGAAGTGGCTGTGAAGACATGGGCTGTCTTTCTGTTTGTGGTGCGTGCTTGGTTTTATTTCCTAAACCCCTTGGTGCCAGTGTGTCTGGAGACCTTTGTCTGATCACAAGTTTCAGGAAGACGGTTTCTACTCTAAAGCAAGTATGTGATGTGTTGTTTTCTGCTGCTGTTTTATTTAGTAATGCATTTTGGATTTTGAATATATTGACTTGTTAAATAGAAGCTTCAAATTAGTCACCTGTAATTCTTGTTAGCATTTATCTAGAATATAATTTATTCCTTTTTTTATAGGCATTTGACCTAACAGAACAAAGATATGTAGCTGTGAAAATTCACCAGTTAAATAAAAACTGGAGAGATGAAAAAAAGGAGAATTACCACAAGTAAGTGATACTAGATTGTCTGATTTGTCAAAATCTAGTAATTATAGCTTGAGTTTGAGCATTGTGTTAGGAGCTTTACATGCATTGTTGTTTCATTTAATCCTCATAACTGTCCTAAAAGAGTCAACTTTCCGTCTTACTATTGAGGAAATTGGTACTTAGAGAATTTGAGAAATAGCTAAGAAATGGCTGGGCTGGTATTTAAATCCAGATTTCCCTTAATCCAAAACCCATGCTCTTAACCTTTCCTTCCATTGGCTATAGTAAACAAAGCCTCAGAAATTGTTTTTTGCTTGTTTGTAGAAATCAGAGGAGGGTGTCTTTAGTGGTCTGTGGATCCTGGGAAGCACCTGGTGGGGCTTTCTAAGCTGCTGCAGTCATTTCTTTATGGAGGAGGCAGATAGTTGGTGAGGGGGCCTGGTATGTCTCAGTGGTACTTGTTTGACTTGTTCAGCTCCTCAGTGCTGTGCTCACCTCCCCTGGCACAGTTTGCCCTGTCTCAGGGTTCTTGGTCTTCAGTGTTCTTGGTCCTCCCCGAAAGGAGGAGATGGCCTCTTTTGATATGAAGAACCTACTTCCTTTCTCCAAAAGCAGTTTTGGTGGTTATCTTATAAATTGTTCTTTGGAAGGGAAAAAATAGTAGACTTTGAAGTAGACTTTTAGTTGATTTCTAAATCTCAAGGGGAAAATAAACATTTCTACATCATCAACCACTTCTTGGCACATGGACCAAGGCAACTTTTACTTTATACCTATTGGTCATCAGGGATCCAGCCACTCTTCCTGATCCATGCAGGTTAGCAGTGGCTCTCGGCCCTGGGGAACAGAGTGTGCGTTTGGTATTAAGAGAAATAGGGCGTAGCAGAGGTGGGAAAAGGGATATGTGGTTTATGCATGGCATCCTGCATGTGTACCTTACATGACAGGCAGCTGCAGTCCAGATGCTTCTGAGGCGCAGTTACGTTATTATAAGTACATTCCAGTCACTTGACGTGCAGGAGTAATGGCAGGCTGCAGTGAATGCCAGGAGCATTTCAGAGAAGGGAACCACATGTTGTTCTGACTAGTTATAAATGAGAAATGTCCCCATTACATTGAGACTTTCAGAGTGTCCCTGAGTGTTGGAACAGTATACGCTTCTCTTTAAAAATGCCCTCCAGCTATCCTTGGAGCTTGTGTAACTTGTGTATGCACTGACCACTCTAAATAGTTGACTCTATAAGGGATCAGCCTTGGTCGACCAAGACCAAGAGGTCAACCAAGACTATCTTCCAAAGAAGATAGTTCCTGTGCCAGGGTCTGTACACATTTTGCCTAGTCTCATTATCCAGCTTTTAGGCCGACCTTAAAGAAAACTCCAGTGGGTGTTCACACCCCAGTGTTTTGAACAGTGAGGTCTTGAAGCCAGAACTACACCTCCTTGACACATTGGGCGAGTCCTTGTGGATATGAATTGGTTGGCTTTCTCACATTTCTGTACCAGAGAGTCGGAAAGCAAGTGGAGGGGATTGTCTCGTGTTTCCGAGCTCTTTACCAACCCAGCTAAGGCTCTTGGTGGTGCCTTCCTACTCTATTTTCTCACTCGGGGTGGGAATCGGTGTGCCTGAGTATCTACCTCTGTGGGGCCATCTGGGTAGAGGCCATTTCCAAATTGACACTGGGGAGGGGGTGTGCAAAGTTGTTATGATATCCATTCATCCTTGTGGGGGAAATTTTTAAGCACTTCCACCTTTTATTTGAAAGATTTTTTTCTTGCTAAGTGATATGAAATCGTATTGATGAATTTTAGCCTTCAGATAATAATGAATTAGCAAAATGCTATTAACTTCTTTGACTTAAAGAGGTTTAAATTAAGCATATAACAGATTTTAGAGAGTGCTTTAAAAATTCAGTGTTGGTGATTGCTGGGGCAGGGGGTATAAGGGGACTAAATGGTAATGGAAAAATATAATACATGTGTTTTTAAAATTCAGTATTAAACTAAAAAGTAATATACTTTAGTGTTAAAACATTATAAATATGAAAATGCTACTCTAACTATGCGAAGTTAAGGTCTTTTGATTGCTTTTACTTTCATGTGGATGACTTTCTAGTCCCATCTGGAATCAAGATTTTTTTTTTAAAGAAGAGAAAGTCAAAAAAAATAAAAGGCTGTTGTTTTGTTTAGTTTTGAGTGCTGTTCTGTACTTTCTTTATTCTCCTCCTTACCCCACAAACAAAAAGTAAACTGATTATTTTACTTTTGTATTATTAAAGCATTAATAGGTATTACTAGGTTTCTTTGACTCTCCAAAATAATATATTACAAACTATACAGTAGGAAGATTTCATATAAAGCTTTCTGCAGAAGTAATTGTGTTTTATATACTCTCGTATGATACTCTTTTCTAATCTTCTAGGATAACATCATTTTGAAAGTCTTAAATATAGATTCTACTTGTAAGAAAGTCAAAGACGTTAACACTGGAGTGGATGAGTTTCTTCCAGATTCTCAGTGAAGTCTCTGTATTTACAGTGCGTTTTCTCCTTGGGTGCTAAGTGCACGTGTGAGGGCGTGGCAGGGCAGCTGCCTTGCCTGATGGAGCCTGAGAAGCTTGAGGGAGTGCTCTCAGTGATGCACAGCAGATTCCCCGAGTCGGGGAGAAGTTTGAATGATACTTCCTTTCATTCTTAATTTGTGCTTCCTTTAGTTTTCTGTTTTCTGTAACTTAACAGAGAAATTGATCTCTATTCTGAAATGCACAAAATCAAATGTTAAAGCAAGAGTGCAGGAAACTGTGGGTTTTAGCGTGCTAGAGCGAAAAATGACTTGAAAGTTATCTATTTATTTAGTTCATAGGTTTCTAAACTTGTTTTTTTAAAGCAGCATCACCTTTATTTTACCAAATGAAATGTGAAAAAAGATAAACGTGGAGCTACTTTGGTGGAATGTGGTGGGAGTTGGGTTGGGCCAAAGCTGCCTTTCTTTGCTTAGCATTTCCATAGGGGCTCCAGAGGCGAGGATCTCCAGTGTGAGCCCCCTTTAAAACTGCCAATCCAGTACAGTGATGGTAAAGCCCAGGGAGGTGGGCTCACAAAGCCCAGATTCGAAGCCAGATTTCTTGGTCCCAGTGTAGCATGGGTTTTTGATACTACTCTAGATGTGGCAAGACTTGCTTTTCAGAAAGACATAAAAATGATGAAATGAAGCATCAGAAGAAGCAGAAATTGCCAGAAGTGGCACCTTGAAAAATAAGCCTAGTCACCTCTGACTGGTGTGGCTCAGTGGATTGAGCACAGGCCTGTGAACCAAAGGATCACCAGTTTGACTCCCACTCAGGGCACATGCCTGGATTGTGGACCAGGTCCCCAGTGGGGGGCATGTGAGAGGCAACCACACATTGATGTTTCTTCCCTCTCTCTCTCTTTTCCTTCCCTGTCTGTAGAAATAAATAAAATCTTTACAAAAATAAGCCTAGTCAAATAAAGTTTCTATTGGGGAAAATACATTTAATTGCTTTTTGATTTCTCTCCCCCTTCCCAATTGTTTTCTTAGCTTTTTGTTAGTTGAGTACTTTTCTGTATATTTTTGATATGCTAAAATACACCCATTTCAGAGAACTCTTCTTCTTTTAGCTTTATTTTACCATGCTATGGAAAGTTTTTTTTTTTAATGACTTTTGCCTTATAACAGAATGTCGCAAACTAAATGGTGCTAGGTTACGTGAAATATAATCATTTCCTATTGCTCTTTGTAAATAAGAACTAAATACTTCTAAAATTATTGATAATTATATTGTATAAATATGTACTATTATTTTAAAATTTAGTATATGACTGTCCTAATATATAGTACACTTCTGTTCCTAATTTTATTAAATGCTTCTAAATTGGACAAGTACTAAAAAAAATTGTAACATTCTCACATTTTCTTAGAAGAAAATAAAGGTGATAGCCCTTTAAATAAATTCTTTTTGTAAGGAGTAAGAGTTAGAAACAAATACAAGTCCTGGGATATCTCAGCTGGCTAAAGCATTATCCTGATGCGCCCAGGGTGCAAGTTTGATTCCCAGTCAGGGCACATATACGAATCAATGAATTAATGCATAAATGAGTGGAACAACAAAACACTCTCTCTCTAAAAATCAATAATTAAAAAAATAAAATAAATACAATTCACTGCTAATTGCCCTATATAACCAGTAATCCTTTTACCCAAGGAATTTATATGCTAATTAATGTCCTTGATGTAACACCTGGATATAAACATAGATATGAATGATCACCTTTATTAGTTAATTGGGAGCTGTCTTTATAATTTTTAAAGCTCTAATATTTGACTATAAATATAAAAGAGGGGAGATTGTCTCAGAGTGAACTGGAAAAGGATAAAATTTATTCATTTAACTAATATTTGAACACCTACTATTTTCTCAACAGCTTGCTAGATACTAGTAGAGAATATAGGTTGAAAAAAAATAAGGGACCCTGGCTGGTGTGGCTCAGTGGATTGAGCGCTAGACTGCAAAACAGAGGGTCGCTGGTTCGATTCCCAATCAGGGCACATGCCTGGGTTGCAGGTCAGGCTCCCCGATGTGGGGAGCGCAAGAGACAACCACACGTTGATGTTTCCCTGTCTTTCTCCTTCCCTTCCCCTCTGTCTGAAAATGAATGAAATCTTAAAAAAAAAAAAAGAAAGAAAGAAAGATAAGGGAACCAGATGGATCTGAATGGAAGGAGTGAAATGAGTAGGTGGAAACAACAGAGAAATACGAGAATATGTAGGAGTATCCTTGATGGGTTCTAAAAGGCCAGAATACGAGATGTTAATTTTCCATTTTGTTTACAGGCATGCATGTAGGGAATACCGGATTCACAAAGAACTGGATCATCCCAGAATAGTTAAGTTGTACGATTACTTTTCACTGGACACTGACTCGTAAGTGCTGTACCACTTCAGCTTAGTAATTAATTAATACTAGTCGTGTGTTGACTACTCATGGGATAACATTTATGTCTGGATCCAGGAAAAACTCTTTGAGGGAACCAAATATATATATTTATGGGCAAATAATCATATGTAAATTCAGAACTGGGCCGGCAAGTCATCTCTTGGCCACAGAGTGGGTGCATTTAGTGCTGATAAATGTTTAACTTTCAGCTTGTGGGTAGAGGAGTGGGACTGATTTGTGGTATTTGCTGATTTCTGTGGTATAAATAACTCTCAACACATCCAATTTCAGTCTATCAATTAAAAATATAAAACAGCTCTACTGAGATATAACTTATATACCATAGTTTGCATTTTTAAAGCAGTGATTTTCAACCTTTTTTTAAATCTCGTGGCATACATAAAGTAATTATTAAAATTCTGTGGAACATCAAAAAATATATTTTTGTGCTTATCTGACAAGAAAATTTATATATCATTTTGATTCATACTGGACAGCTGTTGTTGTGTTGGCTGTTGTCATTTTTTTATTTGACAAAGGGGAAAGAGGTCAGTGCCCCCGACTATATAGTCATCAGGTATGGCATGTTTTAAAAATCCTTGTGGCACACTGGTTGAAAATCGCTGTATTAAAGTATACAGTCAATTCTGTGGTTTTTAGTGTATTCAGAGATATGCACTACCATCTTCAGAGTCCATTTTAGAACCTTCTTAGCCCCTTGGAAAGAAATTCCATACCTTTTGCTGTCGTCTTCCTGTTTCTCCACCTTCTACCCTCAGCCCTACGCAGCCACTAATCCACTTCTTGTCTCTGTAGTTATTATTCTAGACTTTCATATGAATGGATCATACATATGTAGACTTTTGTCATTTAGCATGATGTTTTTTCAAGATTTATCTTTGTCATAGCGTGTATTAGAACTTCTTTTATCATCAGATATATTTCATTGTATGGAGATAACACTTTTTGTTTATCCATTCATTCTGTGAATGGCTTAATAACCAGCTCACAACATTTCTGAAAATTTAACTATCAACTGTCAGAATCTGGTACAGATTGGTGCCAGCATACCACTTCCATGTACCAGTGAGTGTGGACCGTTTAATAGAGTCTCTGCCCCACCCTGGCAACTGGTGAACACTGACAGGACTTTTAAGGAGGTACCAGAGATGTGATTTTATCATGGAATGAGAATGAATATGGCATAAATTCATGAAGGCATTGCCCAGTGCTCCATGTTGAAATACAGGTTCATAGGCTTATAGGATGTTGGAATGGGAAAGGACCTCTGTCCAGCCTTCTTATTTTGTAGGTACAGATTTGAGGACCAGAAATTATAATACTTAGGTATTGTTGTATTTAATTACCAGGTATAGATAAGCTCTGCCACTTCCAGGTGTATGCAGGAGTTGAGAAATATTTCAACATTTGGAAACATTTTCTCTGTAGGAGTCTGAACCGAGTCAGGAGAACTGAACTGGGTCTGGTGTGCAGGTGTTCCTCCTAGCCTCCCTGTGTAATTCCAGGAGTTTTGGCCTGTTTCATGTAGCAGCTGTCACAGAGATTGCTACACAGAGAACCAGCCCATATTTTAAAATGACCCCAAAAGGAGATCATAATTACCTTTGGGAACATGAACTATCATTCATCCACCCTGGGATTTCTCTTTTACAGTAGAGTGGCCATTGAATCAGGCATAGCCATGTGTGTGGCATGGAGTGGGGTTCAGAAAAATACCTAGGTGTAGAGAGCATGTCTCCCCAGGTGACTTACTTGTTTTGCTTGAAGTAAATTCCTTGAACACTAGGTAGCACCCGTCCACCCCAATGTAATTATGAAAACTACTTTAAAGGTGAATATAATGATTTAGATTATCTGTTCTTTTGAATTATATACATACTTTTAACTAACCTGAGAAATTGAGTTCATTCTGTGCTATGAACACAGAGCACAGAATGAGTTTTTGTTCTTGATTTTTGTTCTTCCTGTTGTATGTATGATGAGTTTTCATCAACACTGTCAGATCATCATTTTAGAAAGTTCTCTGTGAGTTGTTTGAGTATGAAAAGTGAGATTTTATTTTCAGCTTGCATTTGGGTCAAAGAATAGATTCATTTAGCACAAGAATCTGTATCTCAGATTTTGGTGTCTCAGATCAGAGAATCTGTAAATTCAGACATTCTCAAATAGGGTGCTAGCACACGTGAGTGTGTTTCATAAGCATCATAAAGCTGTTGTCAGTTAGGGACTCTGTGGGACCGTGTCTGTCCACATCTCACTGAAGTTCATTTGGAAGGTCTCATTGCCTAGAGGCCCATAGTGCTAGTCCTGAGTTTGTTTGCTCCCAGGTCTGCTCCTCATCCTCCTCTTCTGCACCTTAGGTGAATTGGCCCTTGCAGGCTGTGTTTACCAGGCTCCTGTGTCAGTTCCTGTTCAGTTAGATTCAGTCAGTGGGGAGACAGATGTCATGGGTGGAGAGGACACACCCCCTTCACTGCGGTTCCAGCTGCCCTTGGTGACCTCTCGGTTCTGGTTGCACCATCTCCTCCCTCTGGCCCTCTGGCCCTGGGGTGCAAATGACTTCCTGCTCTAGATGATCTCTGGGTTGTCTCACTGGCCGGTTGTCTTCTCAGATCTTTCATCGTCTGTGTGTTCAGTTCCCTGAATTAAAGCCTGTGTTTGAAATACTCAAATGCTTTTTATTTCCTGGTTAGACTCTGGATGATAACACCTATGTTGTCACAGCTTTGAATAGTTTAAAAAGTGTTCATCTTTCAGAAATACTCAAATGCTTCAGTTTCTAACTGCCTTGGAAGATAGACACATGACCCTTAATGGCAGGAATGGTAATGCAGTTTTAAATCTGGGTCTGTTTAATGTATTGATATAAGTGAAGAAAGAAAAGCCATACTATGTAACTACACATTTGTTAGAACCATAGATACTGTAATTTAAAAAGCCCTTTTATTCCTTGTGCTTAGCAAAGAGAAACTGTAGTACAGTATTGTGTCAAACTGCCAGGAGGCATGGTATGCAACTAGTTTTGGGGGCCTAGGCAAATTGAGATTTTTCCCTCACTGTCAGTGCTCAAGAGTCATAGAAAATGTTTGTAGTGAGAACTGTGTACTTGATCACAGTATGCTTGTTTAGAAATGGAACATGGCATGGATATGTAAAGGAGACCCTTCCAAAAAGGTACCCACCCTAAATACAGCTGGGTACACAGCTGGGGTGTGCCACGCATTGGCTTCAGCACAATGGATTCCAGTGTGGGGGGTGTGGAAGCCCTTCATCAAGAGAGTAAGCCGTTTTCTTCCTGTGCCCACTGAAGTAGCTGAGACTGAATAAAGAATAGAAGAGTATTTTAGGTAACAAAGAAAGGAGTGAGAAGCTAATTACCTGAAGTTTTCACTGGGGCTGATTTAGTTAGTCTTAATCTGCTTGCTCTTGTCTCATGGTCAAATGTTGGTTTATTTGTCTTTAGGTTTTGTACGGTATTAGAATACTGTGAGGGGAATGATCTGGACTTCTACCTGAAACAGCACAAATTAATGTCGGAGAAAGAGGCTCGATCCATTATCATGCAGATTGTGAATGCTTTAAAGTACTTAAATGAAATAAAACCTCCCATCATACACTATGACCTCAAACCAGGTATGTCTAACTTTGAAGAGACAATATTGGTGGCTTTTCGTTGGTCTCATAAGTGACTTTTAATTTTATAAAGTGAGAGAATTTGGCAGGAGCCAAGAAGGCCTAAAGCCATCTGACTTTAGATTGCTTGAGTAGGTGTGGGAACGAAACAGCCCTGGCCACCAGTGGTGGGTTGGGAGGGCGGGTTGTATTAAATGCTCTGGAGAAACAATGCCCCGTGTTTAGAGCCAGGACAACTCATGATGTCAGTCCGATTAAGAAAGGACTGTTCTGGCAGGCTCCACTCTGTTTTCCCCATTACTCACACTGCATAGCAGTTCCTCCACTCCAGATCTCTTTGATAAGTGCTCAAAAATTGACGACTTAGTTTGCACATATATCTCCTGTTTTATCAAATTCCACGCAGAGTTTTCCATCTTTTTGTCTGGTTACTATCTAACTTGGATAGTCATCAGGAAAAAGTAGAGGGCAGTTGGACTTCGTACCTCTTAATTTTCAATGATGCACGTGTGGCGTTCCCTGTGGACTGCTGTAACCTGCTCAGTGTTGGTGTGAGGAAGGTGGTTCCCATGTACCCCCTGGTGTGGCACAGTTGTTAAGTTTGCTTTCCTGTTCTGGTAGCTGCATATTAACTTTTGCTATTCAGTACTCTTCACTGTTCTAATACAGTTCACATGACTAAAAAAAGTCCATGTCAGTGAAGTGATTTAATTAAAAAAGATGGCCATTGTGTGATTGGATTTTCCATCACTGAATTTAACACATTTTCCTGCCTTAGGAGCTGTAGGTGGCACTGTGGTACTACCTTTGATTCCCTTGTAAGTTTTCTTTGATTTTTTTCCTCCCAAAACTAATGTTCTAAACACAGTGAGTGGTTTTAGAGAGCCTTACTGAAAGTTGAGATGAACCTTTCCCACCATTTCTGACCAACTGTACAAGTGCTATTTAACTTTGGCAAGTTATAATTATTTCCACTGCTCATAGTGGTGGTTTTGGCACATTAAGCAGGTGGTTCTTGGAAAATAGAAGGTTGCAGCCAGACACTGAGGACTCTTCCCCCAACATTTAGAGCCCAGTTTATTTTATTCTTGGGATTTAAGATGTTTGGTATCACATGCAGGAGTTTATGAGTTCAGTTGTCTCCTCTTGTCTGTTATTACCTTGGATTTTTCTCTTAATAAAAGTCTCTTTTTATTCATGAAGATTTTTATCTTTTTAGGTAATATTCTTTTAGTAAATGGTACAGCATGTGGAGAGATAAAAATTACAGATTTTGGTCTTTCCAAGATCATGGATGATGATAGCTACAATTCAGTGGATGGCATGGAGCTAACATCACAAGGTGCTGGTACTTATTGGTAGGTATCTGGGAGCTCTGCCAGGTTGGCTGATGGAGATGTGGCTGTGCCATATTGAAGCATTGAGTGATTAATAGTTAATACCTGCATCCTATCTGTTTGACTCATATTAATGTCCTAATTTTTCTTTTTCTTGAAAACCGTTTAGAGAGTGAGATTATGTGTGGTCAGGTGTTTGAGTTATGTGTTTCCTCCGTAGATTTGGCCCCACTGAGTAGGTAGAGAATGAGGTTGCTCAACTGTATGTAAAGAATGGCCCTAAATTCTTCTCAGTTCAAATGCAGGCCTCATTCTTTGTGGGTTAATGGGGAGAGGGATATGTTTCTAGGGTTGCCCGAGGATGATGGATTCTCAAGAACTAAGGACTTCTGAAGATCAGGATGTAAAAAACAGCCCTTGAAATCTAAGTGGGGAAAAGTCTACAGTTTGCCAAGAAATGTATCCCTCTTCCTCAGCCATATTCTAAAAGGTTCACATTTCTTCTCATCTGTCATCACATATCTGTCCTCAACCGCCCAGCCCAGCTTGCTCTGTCTGCCTCTTCCGTGACCTATCCCACTTATGCCTAGTATGACTAGTATGACTTCTGACAGTGTGGACCATAAAAGGTTCCTACAGCACAGGCATTCACAATAACTTTGTGATCATACCTGTATTAACAGAGTGGCCTTTTCACATCTGTGGTAGTAACACAAAGCCACATACTGGAATGTGTGATTCTGAACATGAAAGCTTCCAGTAGCAGCACAAGTGTTGGGTGACCCGTTCCTTTGAGTAACACATGCTATTATACCCCAGGACCAGTTGGCCAGGTCATTTATGTGTGAGACCGGAGAATAGTGATGGTCTGTCTAGAAAGGAAGGTGTTGCTCTGAAGCAGAGAAGTACAGGGGTGTCTTTCCCAGCACATAGGGTCAGTCCTGTTCTCATCAGTCTGATCATATGTAAGTTACATATATCAAAGAACGAACCAAATCCTGCTGAAAGCAAAATTTCTAGTTTATCTTGCTCCTCATTGTTTGTGGAGACGGTGCTTATAATGAAAGTCAGTCACTAAATTAAAACTTGAGATGCTAGGTTTAAAATAGAAGCTGCATTTACAGTGTTTATTCACTATGGAGGTTATTGTGGATTAGTGTTCTGTCACTAAATGATACAAAAATACCTGCTGTTGGAAATTCTGGAAGCACATCTTATACTTCTGCTATATAAATTCCCTGGAACTTGGATTGGAACTATTCGTTTGATAGCTTGTTCTTTTGAAAAGGTGAAGCCTTTTCACGTTTCATTAGTTTTCTCATTGGTACCTATTGCTATATTTGCTAAGCTATAAAAATTCAGTGGTTGGAATTTAAATAAAATTTATACAGTGTTTGGGATTAGCTTCAAATCCACCTGTCTGGGTTGAAGTAGAGAGGGATGTGTCTGACTGAGGGCTCACTGAGTGTTGATAGGTGCTGCAGCTAGATTATGATTACTTGGGGGTCCATTTTACTGTTCTTTCTACTTTAGGTTATATTGAAGTTATTTTCATAGTGAAAAGTAAGGTAAAGAGGGGCTACCGAGAAGATGAAATTTTATGGGTTTCTACAAAGGTTTAAGAAATCTTCATATCAGTAGAAACATTGACATAATCACCCTTAATATAGTGTCCTCTTATGATGTCCCAAAAAGATGCCAGTAGACAGGAGGACATAATTCTAAGTGAATGTATGTGGTATTTGGTTGTTCCAGAATTATTCTACATTGATACTACTTTTAAGTAAGTGACTTGTATGTAGATGAGGCCTTGAAACTCAAAATTTTTCTCTGTGAGGATTTTATTGTCATGGAATATGCAACTATGTTCGCTTTTTTTAAAATTAGTGTAGTGTCCTAAAACTCATTTACTCCCCCCTCCCAAAGTCCTTGATAGGGAATTAAAATGCTTGTTATTTTTAGTATTTGGGTGAAGAAGTGGTATATTTCTTCATTTACAAGTAGACTAGAGAGTGATTTGCCAGACTTCTATTAATTGGCAATGTCTTTTGCATTCTAAATATTTGCCCAGATTGTTATTCTGCATATGGACAAGTTCAACACTTCCATTCTTTCCTTCCGCCACCACAAAAAAGTTACAGATACATTAAAACGATCATTTTAGAGTCAATATTCTGTTTGTTATATATCCAATATAATAATTGATATATAAATGCTGAAGAATCAAGAACTATAAAAACTAGGGTTTAGGGAGGTTTTAGCAGCATTTGGAAGAGCTACTTTTAAGATAAATTATTTTCCCTATGGTTCTTTGTCATTTTCCCCTTTGTGAGTTCTGTGTCGATATGTTCATTTCTAAATGTGTGTTGTGGCTAAAAGTTTTCATCGTGAAATAGTAATCTAAGTCAGTGGTCTTAATCATCCAAAAATGTCTGTTAAAAATAATAAATATATGCCCTGGCTGGTGTAGCTCAGTGGATTGAGTGCGGGCCTGTGAACCAGAGGATCACGGTTTGATTCCCAGTCAGGGCACATACCTGGGTTGCAGGCCAGTTCCCAGCAGGGGATGCATGAAAGGCAACCACACATTGATATTTCTCTCCCTATCTCCTTCCTTTCCCCTCTAAAGATAAATAAATAAAATCTTTTAAAAAATAAATAAATAATAATAAATATAAAAGAAGAACATCAAACTAAACTTCTTTTAAATAAATGGCTGGCATGTCTCCACACCATCCCCCTTTCTTGTATCTCTTCTTTCTTGGAGAGTGAATAAAAACTTCACTCTCTTTAAAAAAAAAAACAACGAAGAAAGCTCATCATCTGAACATTTTTTGCCTCAACTCTGTGGTCCCCTTCAAGCATAAGTTTAGGTTTTTATATCAGAAACACAGCAGTGTCTAAAATAAAGAGTTTTTCCTAGAATTGATTTTGCCAGCATGGGATCTGCAGATATCGTTGTGTTACCCTACAGAATTCTGCCTTCCAGCTGTGCCGTAGCTGAGTCTCCAGGCAATGAGTGGAAGCTTATTTGTTTGGTTTCCTAAATGTGAAAAGGCACTTACCTTCCATACCATACAGTTTGGTGTGGTTGACTGTCCACCTAGTCTTTTCAGAGGCCAGGGGTGGATGGGGAGGGAAGGAATTCAGATGGTGATTGAGTTGTGCTATCTACTAGTTTGTTTAGCTTTTTCTGTACTATTAGTCTTCCTTAGTAAGCCCCTGATCACCCTTAAAGTGGGAAATGTAAAATATCCTTTGGTAATATGGACTTTAATGTCATCACTGATTATATATTGTAGTGATTTTTCAGTCCGGATTACCAAAAAAAAAGCTACAGACAGCCATTCCCCTCAAAGATTTCTGCTTGGTCCTGAAATCATTGGGATTTTTAAAATAGTTATTTTACAACATCTTCAGCTAAAGTGGGACTGACACCACTGTGGTTATATTTTAATGTTTGTTGATGCAGCTGTCATAAAAGGGGATGCATATCTTTTAGGCTCAGTCCCTCTTTCAAACTTGTTGAATGGCACTCGTGTTAGGCACGACCCTTGCAAGGGAGGCTGGGGTGGGTGAAGTAGGACCTAAAGAGAACAGTTAACCTCTCTCAGTGAATTGAGAAATGTATTCAGTATTTTAAGTCTTTTTAGGACATTACTTTCTCCTTATTTTAGTATGTCTTTTCACTGACTTTCTCCAGTTAGGTCTAAGTTGCTTTCTCAGCAGTTAAAATTCAGATATTTTCATCTCCAACAAGGTTGTCTTTGCCTCTACATGTCTTAGTGTTGTGCAGTCATTTTTCTAAAAACTCTCATTGCCTTTTTGTCCTAGGTATTTACCACCAGAGTGTTTTGTGGTTGGGAAAGAACCACCAAAGATCTCAAATAAAGTTGATGTCTGGTCAGTGGGTGTGATCTTCTACCAGTGTCTTTATGGAAGGAAGGTAAGGAGGGAGGCCTTGGGAGGCCTTTCTTGGGTGGTGTGCATGCAGAGAGGAGCATGGTGTTGATATTCTCTTGGAGTTAATCATTGCATTAAACAAAATGAAATCTTGAATGTTGTGGTTTGAACAAAGTACAGACTTATTAATAATAGCTTCATGTGTAAGCAGAAATTTTCTACCCTGGAGCACATAATGAATTCTGCTGGGCTGTGGAAAACATGCATTTTTTGCTGTTTTCAATTAGATCCAGGATATGTTTTGATTCTAATAATATGTTATAGGAAATTATGTGAAATAGTTTATTAAAGTCTACAATCTTCACAGGAGCCATTCTTAAGGGTCTTCAAACTTGAATCTTGAACTATCTGTAGGACTCTTTATTCCCAACCACTCCATTAGTCAAATTTGTTATTAATAAAAGCATGCTTTATATTTCTGTACTGGGAGGTGGTATCAAGAAAGTATTGATAGTCACCTCTGGTCAAATGATATATCATTAGAACAAGCAAAAACCTAGGTAGTAAAGTTCACCTTCTGAATTCTCGCATTTGGTGAGCATTATAATACCTTTTAGTGTGCATATTAGGATCCTGCTGTTGTGTTTTACATGTCCTGGTGCTCCCCTCAGGCTGTGTATACGAGCAATTTGGGAGTTCTGCAACTTTCTTGGACTCTTAATATTTTTATTACAATCCCCAGACCCAGCTCTTAATTCAGATTTCAATTCCCCATTATCTTCCCCTTGTTTCCTTTGTTTCTTCTCTATTCTGGGGAAGCCACGCAGAACTGAGGGGGAAAAATTGTTATTTTTCCTCTGATAATGTTGGAAGTGTTGCTGGGAGTGGTGGCTGAGGTCAGTTTGGAACAGTCATTTGTGATCTCTCAGTGGAAACGCTGTAGAGATGACACTAGGACTGAACTTAATTTTTTTAGAGTTTGTTAGAAAACGGCAGTTTGCGGCACAGATGAAGCCATTTGGCAACCCCAGGCCGCCCCACCCCCGCTCTGGCCTGATCCCTTCTACTCTTTCACTTTTCCGTCTCTTTATCTGTGTCTTGGGTCTGCCAGTGGCACACATGTGTATTGCTTAAGCCCACAGGCATCAAGGAGGGCAAAAGAGGTTGCTGGTTCCTTTTCTGAGTCTTTATTTATTTATTTTTCTGCCGTAAGCAAAGTGTAGCACAGGTGTGATATTGCAGGTGATGCTCCGGCTCCGGCTCTGCCCTAGCCTAGATGTCGGACTCTGAGAAAGTCACTTCAGCTCTGAGATTTTTGCACCCTTTGTCTATAAAATGAGATAATTCAAGATTATCTCTGAAGTTCCTTATAGCAATTCTCATTAAGATATCTTCCTTTCTGGGGTTTTGAATTATTCTTTTTTTGCTTTAACCAGAGGTCCACCGTTTTTTGTTTATTTTTGTTTTTGTGGTAGCCTTTTGGCCATAACCAGTCCCAGCAAGACATTCTACAAGAAAATACTATTCTTAAAGCTACTGAAGTGCAGTTTCCGCCAAAGCCAGTAGTAACACCTGAAGCAAAGGTAAGTTCTGACCATTGGCCAGCAGAAATGACTACTTTGCTTTTTGTATTATTTCTCTGGGTAGTAGTGGATAGATTACTCTACAAAATTCAGGAGTCATTAAAACATCTTCCTCCTTCTAAATGTGTTCTCCAGCTCTTACCCTCCTCTCCTCCCATAACAAATATTTATTGAGTGCCGATTAAACAATAGGTAGTGGAGAAGGAACTGTGAATATATGACAGTGAACTATACAGACAAGGTCCCTCCCTGTCCTTAAGGAGTTTACCTTCCACTAGGTAAGACAAGCAATAACTAAAAATGGATACAATTTAGATGTTGATAAACGTTATGAAGAAAGTAAATCAGAGGAAGGGGGTGGAGCAGTGGGAACCCCTTTTCCCTTGTTTGATGGCTTGATCAGGGAAGGCCTTCATGATAAAGTGGGGTTTTGAGCAGTACTGAATGATGTGGAGGTGGGGGCCATCTATAGATTTGGGAGAAGAATGTTCTGAGCAGAGAAAAGTGAATAAAGTTCAGATGGGAGTGTGGGCTTAGCAGGTCCATGGAGCGGGCAGAGTGGAGGGGAGACTGGTAGGAGATACAGTAGGACGGATTGTAAACCGATGGGAAGCAGTGGAAGGTTTCAATCGTGGCAGCTGTGTGATCTGATTGCTTTTGCAAAAGCCTATATTGGCAGCTGTGTTGAGAGAAAATCTAAGGTAAAAGTTTATTTGACTGGTATCCAACCCAAGAAAATCTGTTTAACTCCATCCAGTTCCAGATACCTCTCCAAGAAAGGTTTATTTTTAAAGGCTAAGGATCAGGCCCTGGATATAGGTAGCTCAGTTGGTTAGTGTGTTTTCCCAATATGCCAAGGTTGTGGCTTGATCCCGGTCAGGGCACATGCAGGAGCCAACCAGTAAATGTGTAAATAAGTGGAACAACAATTCGATGTCTCTGTCTGTCTCTCTCTAAAAATCAATACATACAAATTTAAAAAAAACACACAATTAAAAATAATAATGGCCAAGGATCATTATGTTCATTCCTGTGAATTTGTTTTTATCTTCCAAATGCTTTAATCAAGCAACAACCTCTAGGTGTCTACTATTTTGAAAAACCAGGATTGGTGTTATACGTTTGTGTTTTATTAATTAAACATGAAAGTAGAAAATCATTATTTCATGTTTTAGATGTTTTTTAAATAGACTTTATTTTTTAGAACAGTTTTAGATTCACAACAAATTCAAACAGATCGAGTTTTCATATACTCCTTGGCACTCTGCCCACGTGCCCCGACACCCTGCTCCCCCACACAGACAGCCTGCTCTGTGCCAGCCTCTCGTCCCAGCGCGGTGCGTTTGTTCCAGTCCCGAACCTCCACAGAGGTGCCGTTACCACACTCATGTAAAGTGTGGACTTGGGGCGATATTTTAGAATTTTAAAAATTTATGTCTTTTGATAAATATATAAATAAATGTATATTTATATAAACGTTTATATAGACTTTGATTAACTAGAACTGTCTGGTGAGAAAAGACAGATCATCTGTTTAAGGGCCTATACAATAAGTGTTGTAGAAACAGACTACATAAGCCCTTCATACCTAGTGCCAAAGAGACCTTAGTGTTGGCAGTAAATTAGGGTTTTGAATCAAACCCCACTCACAGGATGTTTTTATGTCTCTTGGGGAGACAAGACCTGTTCGGGTTTTCCTTTACTAGGTATGCGTCTGCACATTAGCTTAATGGTCTTTCAGGGAATATGGAGATACACATGGACAACATTTACCGATCTGTGACACACTGTAGTGTTAGTCAGTGTCAGTCTCCTCACCCTGCATGTGGAAATGGTTTGTCATTAACAATTCCCACTTCCTCAGGAAGTTCGTGTTAGGCCATGGCTTGTAGATGCAGGATCGTGACTTTAGGCTGTGCCCATGTAAACCAGCCAAGACTAAAAAGGTTTTTTGTGCTGGTCTCCTTTGTGGGCAGAAGTATTTAGAGGTCATGCCCATTTCCCCTCAGGAGTGGCTCAGTTGCCTCTGTCTGGGAAGGAGTCAGTGACCGCAGGCAGGTACTGCTGCCAGTGCGTGTCCTTCCCTGGTCTCCAGGTCTGCCTGGCCAGTCCAGGAAGGGCCCTGGCAGCTGCTGGGGAGCCTCAGGTTTCCTTCTGGGGGCACCGGGATTATCTGCTTCAAGCTTCTTCAAGAAACTTTCCTTTCAGGCATTTATTCGACGATGCTTGGCCTACCGAAAGGAGGACCGCATCGATGTCCAGCAGCTGGCCTGTGACCCCTACTTGCTGCCTCACATCCGAAAGTCGGTCTCCACGAGTAGCCCTGCTGGAGCTGCTATTGCGTCAACCTCTGGGGCGTCCAATAACAGTTCTTCGAATTGAGACCCACTCCTAGGCCACAAACTGTTCAACACACACAGAGTGGACAAATGGCATTCAGCAGCGGGTTTGGAACATAGCGAATCCGAATGGATCTCATGAAACCTGTACCAGGTGCTTTTATTTTCTTGCTTTTTTTCCCATCCATAGAGCATGACAGCATCGATTCTCATTGAGGAGAAACCTTGGGCACCTCTGGCCAGGCCTCATAGGAAAAGGCCCCGCCCAAGGTTCCGGCGTCAACGGCCACTGTGTGTGGCTGCTCTGAGTGAGGAAAAAATTAAAAAGAAAAACTGGTTCCATGTACTGTGAACTTGAAAACATGCAGACTCAGGGGGGTCCCTGATGCAGTGCTTCAGATGAAGAATGTGGACTTGAAAATACAGACTGGGCTAGTCCAGTGTCTGTCTATATTTAAACTTGTTTTTTCTTTTAATAAAGTTTAGGTAACATCTCCTGAAAAGCTTGCAGCACAAAGGCTCAGCTGGGGATGGTGTTTGACTTCGGAGGAAAAAAGTTGCTATTGCCCGTTAAAGGCACTAGAGTTAGTGTTTTATCCCTAAATAATTTCAATTTTTAAAAACATGGAGCTTCCCTCCCCCCTTTTTTATTTTTGAAGAATACATTTGGTCATAAAGTGAAACCCGTATTAGCAAGTACGTGGCACTGTTCATTCCAATCAGATGCAGCTTTCTCCTCCGTCTGGTCTCCTGTGTGCAATTGCTTCCCTCATCTCAGTAGGGGATGGAGTGGGGACACCGAGATGCGAGGGGTTTTGCCATTGGACAAAGAATGAGGTTAGAAGACTGCAGCTTCGGTCTCTCTAAGTTTTCAACTATTTCTTCACAATCTGAACACTTGACGGTTGTCCCTTTTAATTTATTTGAAGTGCTATTTTTTTAAATAAAGGTTCATCTGTCCATTCAGTCCTCTTGGATTCTCTGAATGTAGTAACTGTTAAAACTGATCCAAAGATAGGCAGAAAAATGGGCCGGGGAGCCGAATGCCCCAGGGATCAGGAGTCCCTACCACGGTCTCTGTGTGCTTGCTCAGTGGTGTACATTTCTTGTTAACCGCGATGTTAAAACTTGATCAGCACATAAGCTTTCCTCTGTTAGATCTTTTGGCAGGAAATAACCTCCAACCCTCTAAATTTTGTGGGTGTGTGCTGGTGTGTGTCTGTGTGTGCATGTGCACACGTACTGTGTCTCACTCACTTTAATAGAGTCTAAGTGGAGTTAAAACATGATCTCAAGGGAAAGTGGTATTTCAAATATGAACTTTTTCGGAAACTTTTTTTTTAATATGGCTGTTTCTGAGATGTGTGATCAACTGAAGATGGAGGTGAAATGGGAGCTGCGCGGCCCCACCGTGCCCCTGAAACAGCAGAGCACTCAGCAGTGGAGAGAGGAGGCCGGAGCCCGAACATGTGGTAGCCAGCTTGGAATGTCACTGACACATGTGGCAAGAGGGAGCAGCCAGAAACACTTAAAGATGCAGCACTCAGGCGTGCGAGTTCCCTGGGGCGTGGAGTCGGGAAAGGCAGAGAGCCCTCAACTCACTCATGGCTCTAGCGTTTCTTTTATGTGTGATAAATGCCACTTTGTTTGTTTTGTGAACCTGCCCCTCCCCTGTACCAGGCGACCTGAAGGGAAACCGGAGTGGCCCACGTTGCAGGGGTTTGTGGGGAGGGATGGTCTTGTGGAACTCCGAATGGAAGGAATCGGCCCTGGGGCCCTCGGTGCCTCTGACTTTCCAAAGCTGTTTTATCATGATATATACACAGGTGCACGCACGCACACATGCATGTGCACACATGATTGTGTGTGTGATACCTTTTTTAACCATTACAATCAAGCTGCTAAGCAAAGAGTACCCAGGGGATCTCAGGTTGAGCACAATGCTGAAAGGAGGGTATCTGCACAGGAAGAGATAGACGGTGTTGAGACCAGATTCCAACTTACCCAAAATAAGAAGCTCTATTGTTTTTTTTCCTCCTTCTCTTTCAATAATGTTGTAAAAGGAATTTTAACTTGTTTAACAGTTGGGAAGATGCTGAGTCTTTAAGCCTTCCCTCTAACTTCCTCCCCCCCGTGGGTAAGTGAAGTTATAGGGCTTTGTTTGTTGACTTAACCTTTTCCACCCTTGTCCTGAAGAAGGGATGCCCTCTCTCTTTGCTGTCATTGGGCCTGGGGCCTGTTTGGAGTTGCCTGGGCTCAGCTGAGTCTGGGCAAGGCCCCTTTCCACTGCATGGACCAACCCCAGAGAGCGTGCAGAATGTTGCCCTTCACTAGACTCTTCAGCCAGCCAGTAGTGGGGTTCTTCCACAATACATTTTGTTAATATGGGTTTCACTTTTCCCAAGGATACTCCCTCATTGCCATGATGTTGATTTACTTTAAACAATGATTTTTAAAATGTGTATTAATTTGTAATTAAATCCAGCCAGACTGTTTTGGCCTTTCCCAATCTGGGGGGTGGAGAGGATATTAAAATAAGTTTTAAGAAGTGAATTTCCCAGCCTCTTGATTTTACTCCAGCTCACACAGAGCATTACCGTCTGGGGTGGTAGATAGGGGAGTCCTGGCAGCTGGCAGAGGCGCAGCGGGCATCACAGGCACCATGGGAATGTGTGGTTTGTGCAGCACCTTCTGCACCTCTGACATGCTAATACCTGTGCTTCTGGGTGGGGACAAGCAGTGGACAGGACAGGGAAAGGCCCAGCCATCAGCCCACAATTCAGGGGGGAAGGAGCTGGGCTCTGAATTGTCCACTGTGAGACGGGCAGCTGTGCAGGGAGACTCGCCATTGAGGGCCGTGTGCTCCCCGCTTCTGCAGATGACCTGGACATGTCTGCTGTGTTCTTGAGGGTTACCCCGAGGGTTACTCCTTGTTTCCTGCCAGTCCAGGAAAGATAGGTTTTTCTCCAGCTGAGAAGATGAGCAGTCAAGGATCTCTGGTTAAGAGCCCAGCTTTAGAAATAGGTCTGATTCAGCCCTGGCTGAATAGCTCAGTGGATTGAGTGCAGGCCTGTGAACCTAAGGATCTCGGTTCGATTCCCAGTCGGGGCACATGCCTGGGTCGCAGGCCAGTTCCCAGCAGGGGACCCATGAGAGCAACCATACATTGATGTTTCTCTCTCTCCTTCCCTTCCCCTCTAAAGATAAAAATCTAAAAAAAGAAAAGAAATAGGTCTGGTTCAAATGCCACCTCTGCAAGCTTCAGACATAGCTTCTTGGATGGCTGTTTAAAGAGTAGATAAAGGTACAAAATGTCCCTGACAAATAAGATGGGAGTCCAAAAAGGTGGTTTAGAAAGATCACAAGAGGCATTGAGTGGGATTGCTGGTCTTTGGAGCCAGGTTTGCTCAGTGGAAAGGCTCTCTACTTGCCAGGTTAAGGGCAAATCCTTTTGCCTTGGGTCAGCAATGCAGACTTTTCAGGAGCCCTTCCCTCCCTGGGTTGAGATTCAGTATCAGACTCTCTTCTAAGAGGTCAGCAGTCTCTTCCGCTGGATCCGAGACCACTTCCTGCTGAGTGTAGAAGGAGCATCTTACAGTTCCGTGTGGCCCCCAGGCCAGCAGCATCAGCATCTCTTGGACACCTGTGAGAAATGCATGTGCTCAGCTCTGCCCCCAGCCCCACCCCAGCACGTCTCTCTGAAAGTCACAAGTCCTGTTGACCTATCAGCCACTGCCATCAGGGAGGGGCAGTTGGAGAGGGTGGCTATCAGGTCTTGTCTAATCTCATCCAGCTGGAAGACAGATGAGTTCTATTCTGTGGCCTTGGGAACAAGAATCTGTCTGCTCTGGGCTGTCCTAGGACCAACGTTACACATGTGCTCTTCTGTGGGGAGCCCCCAGAAGTGTTCATCCCTTGGTACCTAACGACACCCTCAGGAATCATTCACTCCTTTGGGTGAAGCTTCTTAACGTTTGGCCTTCTCTTAAAATATGACAACTTCCCCAGTACCTTCTCATTAATTTATCATGTTTTTCTTTTACCTGAGGGGTCCAGTGCTGCAGGACAAAGCTGATCCCTGGTCCTGCTTCGGAAGCCAGCCCGGCAGACTGGTTCAGCGGTGAAGAGGGCCTGGGGCTGGACTGAAGCTTTTTGGAAGGGTTTGGGGAGGTGATAGCTCAGGGAGAGGAGGGTTAAAGGAGGGAGTGGGTAGGGACTCTGTGGCTGCTGTTGAGCTCAGCAGGTGGGCTGGGGGAACCTGCCAGAGGCTGGGAAAACAGGCCAGGGAGCAGGTCTGACCTGGTCAGGACAGGGAATACAAGAGCCCTATTGTACTGCGAGAGCTCAGCAGGGGCCCTAGACCAGCTGGAGTCAGCAAAGGGGTGTGTGTGTGTGGGGGGCTGGACCAGCGACCTGAGGTGCAAAGGGGTCAAAGAGCACCCGGCTGTCTGACCAGGCCTCACCCACACCTGGCCACTGGTCAGGCCTCCTGGGTGTGCAGGGTAGTGCTCAGCTAGAGAACTGTGGTAACCTTAATCTCGTTCAGGCCTCCAAGTGCAGTCCGCAGCTGTAGTATCCCCCTGTGCTGCCCCCGCCCTTTCGCCCTAGAGTGGCTTGGGGAAGTGTCCCAGAGGGCAGGATCAGCAAGGGGAAGGGGCTCTAGCACTGCTGCTTTGCAGGGAAGTTTCTCAGCTGTGTCTCTTCATAGTGTAGGCATAGATGAGGTAGAAACGTCTCGCTCGTTTTACAGATGAGGAAACAGGCCCAGAGAGATTTGGTGCCCGGCAGTAGGTAGAGCAGGATCAGATGGGGATGGAGTGAAGGCTTTAAAATGTGAGGTGGATTCTGAGTGCCGCTCTGGGGCAAACACCGCTGTGGGTGAAGGCTGCAGCTGGGTCCCCGCTGCAGGCATGTCTCATCCTGGTGGGGGGAGGGATCCCTTTTCCCAGGCTGCCCTCACTCTTCTCTGCCCCTCCCTCACTGCTAATCCTCCGACATCTGCTTGGAGACCCCACTGGCCTTAGTGTCAGCCCAGTTTCTGCAGTCCTGGGCTGGAACTGAACTTTGGAGAAGTGGGGGTGCAGCTTCCCAGACCATTCCTACTTCAGGTTCCATCTGATTGTGTCATTTTGCTGTATCAAGTCCTAAAATCCTGCCCCATGCCACTCCTGGACAACTCTCTTCCTGTTCCTGTGTCTTAAGAGAGCACGAGACGCTTCTCCGAGGATTTCGATTATCCTCTGGAATACCACTTTTGTACATACAGTGAACCTGGAGGTGTTCAGGCAGCAGGGAAGGCTGTACCATTCTCTCGGGCAAAGGAAAACATGTAGCGTGGCAATCCTGAGAAAACTGAGCTGAGCAGCAATCATGGGCAGTGGGGAGGGGGGTGGGCTAGAGAGGCAAGCAGGACCAAGAGTAAGGAGCAGGGAGACACCTGATGTCCCAATGGCTGAGGAAGAGGAGAAGCAGGGAGGGGAATAGCGTTCCTGAACATCTTTATCCAGGGGCCATGCCCATTCCTTTACATCACAGGTGGCAAACACAAAGGCCCGGGGACCGAATCCGGTCCTCCACCTTGTTTCTCCCTGGCAGCAGCGTCAAGCTCTGGCTTAACTGTTAAGGAGTGGTTACATTTATACAGTCCTAAAATTACATTCAGTCCTTTGAAGGCAGCCGTGAGGGTGATGTGACCCCCGGTGAAAATGAGTCTTTGACACCCCTGCTTTATATGGAACATTTAATCTGGGGGACCAGGTAGGAATTGTTATTACCCCATTTGCAAATAGGAATTGTGAACTCGAGAGAGCTTGAGGAACTCATGGATGTCACAAAGCTAGTCAGTGGGAGAGCCAGGGTTCTCATGGGTCCCTCTGACTCTGAATTAGTCTGCTCTTTTCAATACACTGGGCAGATGGAATCAGCAGACCCACTGATTCCAGTGTTTGGCTAACAGTGTCTG